CACTGTTAATTCCTTCGAAGACGAAATGTTCTAATATGGGATTGTGAGAGAATACCTGATTATTCATAAAACGAATTGACTGTCACTACCATGTGTTTTTTTTTAAGTAGAGAATGAATAAAAACAAGGGAATTCACTTATTTTTCTCGTTTTCTCTTATCTAGTAACAGTCAGTTCACGGTCTCAAATAACAACTTTTCGTCTTCAACGGAATTATTAGTGAGTTGAAATTCGACCCTGTATCTGTTACCGCTTGTTCCTTCAGTCAGTTATATATGAGGATAACTCAAGTTTTCCAATCTTTTTGCGTTACTTCCCGTTTCTTCAAATCTTCGTTACACATCTACCGTAGCAATGATCTCTGTGTTAAAATTATATTTGGAATGTGTTTAACCAGTTCTATCACATATGTGATAATGGCTAATAACACAACATTGTCCTTTACCACATGGATTCGTTCCAGTAATTTGACCTTCTGATAACAACAATTTGTACTGTTTCCTGTTGCTTAAACACATGGCACCAGACGTTGATTAGGGATCCCCATGATGAATTTCATAAAACAAATTTAATTACATTTCGCTTTTAGGAAAACGCTTTACCCACCAATACAGGGCGAATTTCTGACCATTTACGTCAGAAATGAAATTGGGTTTAACGTCCTACTGTTCTGCTCCGATTGGGCTAAGGAAGACGGGCATAAACCATACAGTGTGCTATGGGGGAGATTTTGCCAGGGCAACGGCGCTCCGACCTGCTCTTATATTGGATTTCAACTGTGTACACGCTATAATGTGTACACGGGACTTTTGTCCTTCGCAACTGACAAGGGGCAACCACATCGGAAAATCCCTATGAACTTCTCCTCCAAAACCGGGATCGAACACGGGACCTCCAGGTTAGAGAGCCAACATCTTACTCACTAAGCTATCGCGGCCCCCGACTTGCGTCAGACGCCATTTAAAATTAATTTCAATAAGTTCGTGTGTTTGATACAAATTGTTTCTGTCTGTGCTTTGTAATAGCTTCAAAATCTCTCTCTATATATTTTGCCTTCAGTAGGGATATCGCAATCGAAATTGTTACTTTCAGTGCCTATTTTCAGACAATTACTGAATTGTACCAAATTGTCAACTTCTATAAATATACTATGAATTAATTGTCTATATAAGACGCTCGTTTTATATTCCAAATGGTATGTCATAGAATATAACATTGTTCATTCGTAATTGTTTTCTTTTCATGTAAACTATATAGTGAAAATGAATCCTAATAGTAAGTGCAGGAGATTCGCACTACACATTGGCGGTATATTAGATTCAATATTCTAAATTGGTCAGTGTCGTGCTATTATAGTCTAATTTCTATTTGTGTAACTTCTAAATTAAGACAATATATAATCCAATTTCTTTATTTGTTTAGCGCAAATTTTAATCTATTTCAGCATATTTCTATTAAGAAGAAGATAGCTGTCTTGCTCATTGACGCGTTACATGTTTAGGAACATCGAACAAATTTACAATTGTGACATTTCTACACAACGCAACCGCCATTATGAAGTTGTTTGGTGTCGCCAGTGCGTGCTGAATTTGGTGATTGAGCACCTGGTCGGGATCACTGTTCACTTTTTTAGATTTGGAGATTTTTATTTGATTATTTTTACTGTTGAGCCAATTAATATTTATATACTAAGCAGCAAAAGAACCGCCAGGTTGGTATGTTACTCTGAATAGACGCATTGCATAAAACTTTCCAAATATTTTTATTGTATATTTGTGACCACATCTCCAACTTTACCTGAGCAATAAGGCTCCTTCCCAAACACAGAATTGAACCCAGGAAATGTTCTCAAAACGCAACCTGACTTCTAAGATAGTAATGTGTTCTCCATGATTTTCATGTAACTCATGCTGCACATGCTGTTCACCGGAATAAGGCCTATAAAATGCACCCCCATACCTGGTTGAATCATTCACACTAAAACGTCAGCAGCATGTCACGACTCACGCAGCTCAGAGGAACCCATATTCCTGAAGCAATGGCCCAAGAAATCCCTCTCTGGCCATTGCTGGATTAGCTTCTGATACTTGCGCTTTTGAGGGAGTGTGTCTAATCTTCCCGTTCAATCAAATCTATAACCAAACACAGCAACATGACAGCCATTCTTTTAATCAGGGGCCTTCCCTAAAACTTTGGACAGTGATTTAAGGTATTAAAAACGGTGAAAGTGTTGTTCGACTCAAAACAGTATTGTTTACATTATGTCCGTGCTGATAGCCTCGTTTGTCACACAATTAGTTTTTCTGCAATATTCTGCTATTCGCTGGTTAATTGGGCATAATAAAATCGTGAGTCATGACGTAACGTTATGTAAACATATTTGGTCCAATTTGGAGCTCTGTTTGATATTGTTACGCAGTTAGCTATTGGTTGTTAATCGGGCTATTGACCAGTCATAATTTAGAACAAGAATTTGCCTTCTTTAGTGCAGTGAGTAGTGAGATTAGCTCTTATCAAACGAAACTCTGCGAGGAGTATGAGAGGAACCAGGCGCTTGGAAGACTCGACGCTGGCCACACTGCCCAAGCCATTGCCAATCACTTCCAGGTCAATGTTTGGACCTTCTTCTGGTTTCAGCAACGCTTTCGGGCCCCCAACACCACGGATGATCGGTCCCGAACTGGTAGACCAAGGGTAACCACAAGGCGATAAGACCGCCATGTTGTGCGACAGCACGTGCAGAATCCCTTCACACAGGCATCTGAGACAGCACATCAGACAGTGGGAAAACACGGAAGACCCATCAGTACCGATACAGTGCGCCGACGTCTCACCATCTATATTCTATTACTACTCTACACATAAATGTCACTTTTATTCATAATGAGAAACATTTTCTTGAAATGGTTAAAAAATATACCGGTTGGAAACCCCAAATATGGGGATAAAACGACCTCCAGAGTCCATATAAAATAGGTTGGGTAATTTGTTACAGCCAAAGACTTACAGAGATTTACGTTTTTACTTATTTATAGAATGATATCTTAGTCAAAATAGTCATTTGACATGTAAGATCTTTTACAAATTCCAATTTCACCATTCATCTGTATGAATTTATGCGATTGAATTCATAATTAGTACATTATTAATGATCGTTACTTCTGTATTGGTGAAATTGACCCATTGTTTTGTATTTTCATATTATTTGTTTTTAAAAGACACCAGTGATTCAAAACACGTGAATGCGTATCATAATTCCCACAACCGGTCCATTGGGTATAATTCTGTAAAAAAAAAGCCAAAAATGTCAGCCGTCTTGGAAAATTGCGGCCTTTTTGAAAATTCAAGTGGCTAACGGGGTTTCTTAATACATGATTAGAAACGGACACCCATGCAAATATTTAGTGCGTGTATCCAGATTTGGGGATTGTTACAGTTATCTACCTTTACATAGTCAATGTAACCTTCATACTCCAATCAAATAGAAATTTATTAAACACCGACAATGACACGCAAAATTTATAATGAATGATATACCATAGTGGATAAGTAACTTCAACGAATTGCAATTTTTAAGTTAGTAAAACTGTGCGTGATACTATTCTGTGCATGCTATATAGGCCGTGACTCGAGTATTGGATGATGACTTATATAATATTCAAAAAAGATGTTTCATTATATTATGTCATACAGAGCCTGATTAAAAGGAGGGTGGGGCGCTGACTGGGCTATAGCCGGAGGCACTAACATTAAAGAGGACTTCAAATTAGTTCTAATATTTGTTTGTATTATAATGTGTCATTTATCATTTTTTGTAGGTTTGTGCCAAATAAATATACCTAAATATATATACCATACTGACATATAAATTGTATTTGTGTGAGTGTGACGGACAATTACCAGAATATGCCCCGTTTTCACTGTTGATGCAAGGGCCCCAGTGACACTTCCAGTCAGTCGCCCCAGGCAATCTTAATCCGACCCTGTGTAACACACAAATCGAGAAGGGCTACCCCGAGAAAGTTCACTTTTCTTATTTAAAGGAACTAAGTCTCTAACTCGATATTTTCCATAATATTCGAATTTAAAAACACAAATTAAATTCAATATTGGTCAATTAAATGACTATTGATGTTGTTATCTTGCCGTGAAACTATAGGATCTTGATATCCAATATGTAAGACACAATTAACATTTTATAATTAGTACACGAATCGTGTACCCTATGGTTTCGGGTACCATTTTGTAATGAACAAATGAAAACATATCCTAAAACACAATGTGGAAGTAATTATTAGTAGAGGCTGATAATATTTATTTAATATTTAAAAAAGACCGCGTAGAATGCACTATAAGCAGACGTAAACGACTGCCGTTCAGTTTGAACTTTTTACGTATTTCACCGAACATAATTGATTAGAAATAACAATATTTTTTTTTCAAAAATTGAATATAAATCACTTTACATACATTCATATTAAATTGATATGTGTTTTAGAACCATTTTTGTCTATTTCGCGGTTCTAAAAAATAGAGCTATACGCCCTTTAACATTCAATTTAAGAAAAAATATATTATAATAGCAACGGTGGATAATCTCCCGGCTTGGGTTCAATCGGACTAAAAGAGGTCCAGTAATAGCTAATGATTGCTTTTGATAATGTGCCATACATCCTCGGCAATGGGTGCCGATAAATTTCGAATTCATTACATGTTTGTAAATATTGAAAGGGATTGAACCATTGTATTTTGCAGTGATTCGTATGACGGTCAGAGACTTTAAATTACTTTAAAGAAAGATAATGAAAATAGCTTGTTTGTATATATGTGACAGTCAATGTCTACAATAAGGCAATGTGTACAATGCCTGAAATATACAAGTCAATGTGTACATTGCCGGGTTAGGGTTAAGGGTTGGGGTGGGGGGTTAGGGTTGGGGTTACAAAGGCATTGTACACATTGCCTGATTGTAGACATTGACTGTAACATATATACTTAAAATGCTTATTAAATAGTCAAAGGTTTTGTTTAGATTTAGATATTATCCTTAGAATTTGTAAAGTTCACATATTATCTTTTTAATAAGCCGAAGTAAGATACAATTATAGACACGTGTAACGTACTTCATTTTGGAGTGCACATAACTCAATAAAAAAAATTGACCTAACGTTTACAGTTCAATAAGTTTAAACGTTGAGTGCAATGATCAACTAGTTAACCAAGATTGATAAATATTAGCTATATGGGTGTTGGCTCTTTATAATATTGTCTAAAGCTGTTCAGGTGACAACCACATAATGTCCAATACAATGGAATTCGTGATATGTTCTTGTATTCTTTCTGTATTAATTTGTCCAATTGGTGGGAAATTTTGTTATGACAATTTTGTGGATTTACTTAAATATACCACAGACATATACTCAATCAACTTTAAATCGACATACACTTGGATCGACAAATTAAAGTGTGACACGGAATACAACTTTACGATTGTTGTGATCCCAACTGAGTATTCACTGGTGCCTGCTGAGAAGTTCATAGCTGTGTTTTTCTTTATTTAGTTCGAGTCATTCTATATGTGTCTATGGTTAGTCTCTATCTACGGTTGTATGCCGTCTGACTTACCATATTTTTATTTTGCAAAATTCAAATATTTTTCATACATATTTAGCCAGGTGTGCCGCTATTTTTTCATGTGTTCCAAGGTGTGCCGTTGGCTAAAAAAGGTCGAGAACCACTGATTTAGACAAATATTGTATGTACGTTGAAGACTTCTGGTTGCCCGAGACCATAATATTCAATATATTAGAAACTATCCCTACAGATCGTGTGTACGCACACGAACTCTGTATAAAATAACAATTTCATTCAGACCTGCATAATAGTAGTGAACTGTCCTTTCAGCAAATATACCTACCCCTTTCTTATTCTCTCTCTGGCTGGTAATATAATATAATATGTTTAAAGCTTTATTAATAATAGACCCGACACTCAACGGACAGTTATAACCTAGGATATATGCGAGTATAAGCAAACTAAGTAAGTAACTAATTTATAAATTGTATAATAAGTACTTTAATTACAATCTTTAAGTAAATGTTTATTTATGTGAAGATCTCAAGCAGCTTGTTTGTATGTTGAGGTGGGCGTTGAAAAGAATATCTAAAACCATATATTTATATACCTTAAAATTGTTCAATTGGCGTTTGTTGATTAAACTGGAAATACACAGGATATAAGTCTATGCTATACAGGTTACTGTTCAGCCGCATAGCCCAATTTTCATCATTGTTTTATTTGAACTGGGTCGTTGTTTCCATAAATCTGACTTGTTTTTAACGTCATTATGTTAGGATTTTAAAAAAAGATTATTGGTTTTAACTGTGGGGTCACTAATTATGACTGGTCATACTTTTGGCCGAAATGTGTTTTCGATTGATTGCACCAAAACATACGAGTTCATTAACTTCGCACGCTTTTTCGCATGAAACCCAAATCTAAGGCCTTTAAAATCCAGGGGTTCTCGGTTTCAAAATAAGTTGTTCATGTAGACATTCAACGAGCCAAGTAATGCCACGTATGAACAAAGACCAACACAACAACGCTACGGGCGGTTACAAGCACATGAATCCCAGACAGATGTAGCCAGGCTGCTCAATGGTTACCCGAGTACTATCTCTCTCACTTTGGGATAGGTACCGACAGGGCCGTAACTAGCTCAGAGCAACGAGGGGGCGGGAAGTTCTCAGGGGTGCTGTAAAATTGACGGACAATATATATCTATTGTTATTATGGTCGACAATTTTTTCACAAGGGAGGGGAGGAGGGCGAAGCTTTTGAGGGGGGCTTTGCCCTCTACTGCAGCAGCAATTCCCGGACGGCGTAGGATCTCAAGCCAGACTGTCCGTAACCGCCTACGTGAAGCCGGATAACGAGACAGACGTCCCGACGTTAGATCTGTTGTTTTGACTCGTCGACACCGTCAAATCCGACTTCAATAGGATCAGACACAGGGTATGGCCACGCTGGAGAACAATTTGGTTCAGCGACGTGTCTCGTTGCAGCGAGGCTATGGTAGAGCGAGGGTATACCGACGATGAAATTTCACTATGCGTTTCTTTTTTTGAAGAGTACAATATATTTAATAATTGTTTTACAACAAATTTAATCATTTTTTACGATAAATTTAATCATTTTTACGATAAATTTAATCATTTTTTTACAATAAATATACATGTAATCATTTTTTTAAAATTAATATAATCATTTTTTTAAAAATAAATACAATCATTTTTTAAGAATAAATATAATCACTTCTAAAATAAATATAATCATTTTTACAATAAATGTATTCACTTTTATAAATAAATGTAGTCAATATTTATTACGATAAATGAAATCATTTTTAGCAATAAATGTAATCATTTTTTAAAACAATAAATGTAATCATTTCTTACAATGAATGTACTCACTTTTTACATCAAATGTAATCCTTTTTACAATAAATAGAATCATATTTTTACAATAAATGTAATAATTTCTTACAATGAGTATATTCATTTTATACTCATTTTCTTTTACAATAAATGTAATCATTTTTACAATTAGTGTAATCGTATTCTTTTTAAAATAAGTCGTAATCTTCACTTTCTTTTTACAATAATGTAATCATTTTTTTACAATTAACGTAATCATAATTTTGTTTTCAATAAATATTTTTAAACAAATATTAACTGTAATATTTAAAAAAAAAATAGAAAAAAATAAATTCATTACTTATATTCTTAAATTAAACGTAATCATTCTAAAGAAATAGACATAATCATTTTAAAAATAAATGAAATCATTTTATAAAATAAATGAACTAGTTTTTTTTTAAAATAAATGAACTAGTTTTTTTAAAATAAATGTAATCATTTATTTTTTTAAAAATAAATATAATCATTTCTTTTTTTAAAAAAAAATGTATCATATCTTCCTTCATTAATGATAACTATTTGTTATTTTTTTCAGACAACTCTCATTATGATGATATTGTTCTTAATACTTTTAGTGTGTCAGCTCACTCGTGGGTATTTCTACAAAGAACTCGACCAGAGTTTTAAACATAAATTAGCTCAACAATATTCACCTGAAGAAAACAGTAAAACAAACTTTGATATAAGATCCAAACAGTATCAAGTTGTTAAAAATGTTGTCTGGTTCAATCAGCCATATTGGACTCAAGATACGATACCCCTCGGTAAAGTTTTCTTCTCTAACTGTGCTGTAAAAAGCTGCAAACTGGTACCAACAACTCCATCCACTATAAAGTCGAGCGATGCTGTCATCTTTCATGCCGTAAATCTACCCGATGTTTCCCCTCCAAAACGACACCCAAAGCAGACGTGGATATTTTTTGGTTTGGAACCTCCTTTTCATTACAAGTCCCACGTTTGGGCATCCAATGATTGGTTCAACCTTTTTAATTGGACGATGACATATCGCTTTGATTCCGACGTCATTCACCCTTATTCGGTATCCAGAAATCGTGAAATGAAGGGATTTAAAAGAAGAAATTATGGTGACATTATTAAATTAAAAACTGGACTGATAGCCTGGTCAGTAAGTAATTGTGAAACTCGTGGGAAGAGGCGACAATATGTGAAACAACTACAGGATTATTTTCAGGTGGATATTTATGGGAAGTGTGGAACATTTCCATGTAGAAAGAAATGTTTTGACGAGATAAATAAGAAGTACAAATTTTACTTAGCTTTTGAAAATTCGTTTTGTAAAGATTACATTACAGAGAAGTTCTTCAGAACCCAGAATCTAGACGTTGTCGCCATTGTTAGAGGAGGGGGAGATTACTCAAGGTTTTATCCACCCGGAACATACATAAATACAGCGGATTTTTCCTCCGTGAGGGAACTTGCCATCTATTTACAATATCTGGACGAGAATGATGCTGCTTATTCCGAATATTTACATAAAAAATCATTGTTTATTTCTGGTGACAATATCAGAAAAATAGCATTCTGTGAGATGTGCCGGAAATTACATGATATAAACGTATATGGACGAACAATTTCCAACATCAGTGATTGGTTGAATACCTGTTTTGAGCCGCCAGATTTAGAAGCATATATAACTGATGAATCAGAATTACAACGACAATATATTGATGTGATTGCGTCCAAAAAGAAAAACAAGCCAATTTTGCAAATAGATTATTAGATTTCTGTTGGATACGAGAGATTATCAAATACTGGTCTGTTTCCAATTTCTAACTCAGGGCCAAATAACTGGTCTGAAACCGATTCTCTTCCAGTAGTGTCAGTAGATATAATAATACCAAGGTGAGAAACGGATTGGAATTAAATAACTGGGATCAAAGTTCACTATACTCTAGAAAGAATTGTTCTGTATCCCAAGAAGATCCCGAATCGGGTCTGCCCTCTGTTTGCCCCCCCCCCCCCTCCTTAAATAATTTTTAAAAAAATAAAATAAAATATTTGTGATATGTTTCGGTAATCAATACCTTCTACAGTGATTAAATCCCACTCAGTCATAGATTTGCATGTTGTAGTCAGTGTGATTTCTTACCAGACTCATCCTGCTGTAAACCGGGGAGAGGGCTGGGTGGCCAAATGGTTAACGCGTGCGGCGTTGCACCATAAGGTTTGCCATTGAGTCAAGTAGCGTGGTTCCGAATCCCCGCTTGTCCAACCTCGTGGATTTTCTCCAGGTCCTGCGTTTTCCTCCCACTGCTAAAGACCCCCTAGGCGCAAGCGAATTAATGAAATGTTAATCCCGAAATGACCTAGTTTGTGTCGAGTGGACGTTAAAACCCATCTCTCTCTCTCTCTCTCTCCTGTAAACCTAATATAAATACTAACACGTGAACCACTTGAGAAGTGTTTTTTAAGATCCTCAAAGTTTTGGGGTATAGGTTCAACGCAGCGAGAAAATTCCTTCACTTCGAATCACTTACTCCGTTCGGTTGTTCATTTGACACTTTCCTCTCTCGTGGGATAAGCTAGTAATTAGGCAACAGGACGTATCTGGACACAGTCGTTGCGGAATCCGGTCACTTGCTTCGCTTGATCCAAATTTAGAGAAGTTTCTGGACTTTAAGAATGTCTCTGCGTTGGCAAAAAGCTATGATCTAAACATGGAAGACTTAGACCGAGAGTTCCGCCAAGCAAAGAGAATAATAGACTGGGCCAATCTGAAACTGGAAACGGTCAAAGATCTTCATGATTAATTGATTCTGTTGTGAAAATGGCGTTTGTTGAATTAAAAAAAAAATCAGCAGATAGCTCTAACTCTCCCGGTTAGCACAGCCGGAGTAGAGAGACAATGGTCGACAAGCGTCTCCGCAACATGGCTGTAATAAGTTTCCACGGGAGCGGGCAATGTGGCCGATCGCTTTTCTACAATATACCCGAATTCAAGAATTTATAGCAAACCGATTGATGATAAGATATTTTGTTGAATATTGTTCCTTACTCATAATAATACAATAGTTTGCATCTAAATCATTATGCTTGGGTGTTCTGATAGCAGTCTGCACTTTATTATTCAATTATTGCATTTCTTCAGGCAGTGATTTTTATAATTTTAAGTGTTTTTGAGTAAAAAACAGTTCTATTTATCTCGAAAATGTGCATTCCGGCAGTCTATTTTTCAATATTTTCTGAGGGATGACTAGGCGTATCCTGTCTCACTATCGATTTTGATCAGGTTCTTTTTCGTTCAATTAAATCAGGACGTACTTTTCAGATTTTTAACAAATCCTTTAAAGGAGGCAAGTCTCTAACTCAATATCACCCACAGTTTTCTACAATGCAAACACGACTTAATGGTCAATTTCAATCAATATTGATGTTGTTATCTCACCTGAAAAGATGGGCTTCTGATATCCAATATTTAAGACAAAATGAAAATTCTAAAATTGGGACACGAATCGTGTTCCAGAATGCTTTCGAGTGCCAATTATAATGACACGACTATACATACCCCACAGGAAAATACTACCGGTGTGGACTGGAATAACCAGATGCCAAAGACTGCCATTCAATTTGGACTCTTTGCGTATTTCGCTGAACATAACTGATTAGAAATTACAATAAAAACAGAAATGGTTGAATGAAAATCTAGGTGCTAAAGAATAGGGATTTAGCCACTTCAATCTTGATGAAAAAGTCATTTTGATCCCATCGTCAAGATGATCTTGTTTTTGTTATATCCGACTTTTATATCTTCTGTCACATCTCATTTCTGCTGAAGCAGACAAAATTCAATAAAGAGTAATGATTTTGTTAACAAATCTTTAATTGATGTATTTTACAAATTGTATTAGTAAAAGTACTGAGCAAAAATTGTATAAATACATAAAACTATTATTTCTATATGGTCACCTGATATTGAGGTTAAAAAAATAGTTCTTTAAATACCCACACCCAAGTTGACATTCATTCACAGAATTCGTTATATCCCACTCTTGGCTTTTTGAACTTTCTGTATGTGTTTTATATTGTTTTAAACTAAAGCAGGGGATTAGTGCTATGAGGTCAATTTTTGCTACGGCTTACACTTACTTCGAATTCCAACAATCAAGGGGTCTTTTAGGTGCAGGCCAATGTTTATACAGGAACTATTAGACACTGTTCCTTGCCAGGCCCTTTGCCCTGCACCAATGACAAAGGGGATACAACACCGGAAAACCCCTGGGGTATTTTCACTGCCAACATCGGGATTTCAATCCCTGAGCTTCAGATAAGTGAGTCAGTGCATAACTCTCTGAGCCACTGTGACTCGGGCCACATAACAAATTATACAGGAATATATTATTTATCACTATATAATAAAGTGGCATATCGAAACCTTCTTATAATAATTATCTCAAACATCTTGAAAATGTAGGGTGACTTAATAGTATTAGTGGCAATACAAATTGTCTTACAGATAACCATATTCTAGTCTACACAGCTTGCATCAAATTGTAGACCTACAACAGTATCACAGTTCTATCTCATCGTAATATTTGGATAAAAGAAAATCTTGAAGTGTTTTTGGAATATCCAAATTATTAACTTTCGCCAAACTGTCGGCATTAACTAATGATTTTCTGATGATACTTCGACTTAATCTCATCAAATCACGTGGGGTATATAACTCATTATGTAGCCACGTCTTAAATTTGGGTAGAACTCCACACAGATACACAATTCTCGGGGCTGTTAAAATATCATAAGTTCGGTCACAGTCTGCCTTTAATAAACGCTCAACAAGTCGTAGATTTCCAAATTTCACAGCTTTGTGTAAAGGTGTCATTCCTGTAAAATATGATATGACAACTAACAAAGTAATTCTATTATGAAATGAGGAGGGATTGGCACTAGAGCTTCATTAGTCCAAATCACAGCAATCAATTTAAGAATGTCAGATATCAAGTTCAAATATAGAGCATTTTGCCCCAATGTGTACAAAACCTATATATTCAGTCACTGAAAGTGTAAGAATTGGGCTTGAAAAATGTACAAAGTTTTTCTTTGTTCCAGGAACTAAAACAGTGATATAAAAAGAGAATTTTACCTTTTTTATCTGGGGAGTCTGGGTCGGCACCATGACTTAATAAAAAATTCATGATTTTGGTTGATCGTCTGGAACCATTGTCTTCAGCAGTATAATGAAAAGCTGTACGTCCAGAGCTGTCTTTCTGTTATAAAGGAAATACTTAATGTTATCATCTCCTCACTACAATAACGTTTAATAATACTATACCTAGATTTTATTTTTGTATGGAAATGCAATACAGTTATTTTAAGTCCTATGATTATGTTTATTATATGTGGAGTGGGGGTCACGGTGACTAAGTGGGTAAGACGCTGGCTCACAAGTCTGGAGGTCGGATGTTTGATCCCTGAATTGGCCGAGAAAGTACATCCAGATTTTCCGACGTGGTTCCCCGGACAAGGACAGCTGTCTAGTCGTTCGGATGGGAAGAAAAACCAAGGACCTATGTACACATTGGCATGCACGTAAAAGATCCCTTGAAGTTGGAATCTGATATAAGAGTAGGAGGTAGTGCCGCTGTCTGGGCAAAATTTCCCACATAGCACACTGTATGGCGTATGCCCATCTTCATTAGCCCAGTTCGGAGCAGAACAGTAGGATGTTAAACCCCATTTCATTTCATTTATATGTGGAATGGCTTGTAGTAGAATTCTACATACTGATCTTTAAATTCTAGCAGGTCCACAAGCTAAAAATGGCATTTTTCTAACAATCAGGGGCCATAATCCAGGAAGTTACATTCTGATATGCGCGATTATCGAAAGGAACCAAGACCTTCGTGATATAAGCATAAATTTAAAGTTTCATATTATATTTACACTATTTGCGTACGCGGGGCGGCCATTTCGTCTGGCAGTTTTGGTTTGAAATTCAGACTCAACCGAAATTACGGTGTAATGGTGATATATTCAAATGGTTTTAAAAATCGAATTAAAATTGTGACCTCTAGAGAGATCACAAGCTAAGAACGCGATTTTTCGTACAGTCAAGGGCCACAATTCAGGGAGTTACGATCCGATATGTGCGAAATGGAACCAAGATCTTTGGGTTATAAACATCTATTTCAAGTTTCATTTAGGGTGTCCACAATTTTGATATACCACATTTTTACACTATCTGCGTGCGAAGGTTGGCCATTTTGTGATATATTCGGCCGTTTTTTTTTAAATCTGGTAATAATTGTGACCTCTAGAGGGACCACAAGCTAAAAATGTGATTTTCCCTACAATCAGGGGCTATAATTCAGGAATTACGATCCGATATGCAAACATATATCGACAGGAACCAAGATCTTTGGGTTATAAACATGCATATCAAGTTTCATCAATCAGATGAAACTTGTGAGCTCTAGAGTGTCCACCAGCTGAAAACGTGATTTTTCGTACAATTAGGGGCCATAATCCATGCAGTTATGGTCTGATATTTGCCAATGTCGAAAGAAACAGAGATCTTTAGGAGATAGACCTATATTTCAAGTTTCCTCAAAATCGGATAAAAATTGTGACCTGTAGAATGTCCACAAACAAATTGTGGACGTACGGACAGAGGCGACGGCATATATGTGGGCATATAAAAATGTACCAATTGTTAATTGGATTATTAACATACCATATTTATATCAGCACCAGCATTATATAACAGTTGAACTATTTCTGCTTGTTTTAAAGCCACAGCCACCATTAAAACAGGTGCTCCTTTACCATTTGTTTTATTGACATCAGCACCAGCTAAAGAATGTACAAAATAATTTATACATCACTAATTAAATTTCATAAGATTATATCAGGTCTTTATTGTCAAAGGTAATTACTCTGCAAGATGGTTGTTGTAATATTTCACACCTTATCCCAACAAACCATTGCAAAATGTGCACAGAATGACATTGGTTGCAACTAAAAAGTTCTTTGTGATGTGATAAAATTCTAAAATAAAATTTAAGCTGCTTGAATGAGCTAGTTTAGTATTTTAGAGCCCAGGTCAGGACTTTTAAATGGCCCTTTAATTACTAGATACATACTATAATTATACTTACCATCTAAAAGAGCAGATATAATATGTAAGTTAGCTCCCCTGGCAGTTATAGCAAAATACAAAACACTGCTACCTTTAATATCTACTAAATCCAAATTACAGCCAGATGCTATAAGCCTCTGTACACCTGGCAAATCTTGTCTACATATAGCTTCCATTATAGCAGTGCGTTTACTAGATGACTGGATATCTGGGTCTGCTCCTGAAAATGAATGGAAAGACAAATGCTCATTTACAAAAATCAATGTTAAATGCACAATTAATTGGTAGTGCTGTTTATGTAAAACATCTTTTGGTAGTAGTTGCTGTATGAGCAACCATCTTAATGCACACTGCACACATTACCACCACCACCTTTCATTTTCTTTGTATAACTGGCTACATCCTCATTATATACACATGCATATCACAGGGTGACCCCAAAAAACATGACCCATAAATTTTTTATTAAATCCTACAAAGATCCAGCAAATTTCAGTCTGTGCATGGTCATTCCCCAAAGTTTCAGTTATCTTTGTCGCTTTGCATAAAAGTCATGTTCTTTCCAAAATATGCTCCAAATGGCCACTGTGGCGTTGGAGGCAAACTTGCATATGTCGCGCAAAATTGTCAATTACTCGAACACATTCCTCTTTGGGGAGGCCATTTGGAGCATATTTTGGAAAGAACATGACTTTTATGCAAAGCGACCTTAGGCAAATCTTCAAATGCTACATAAGCATCAATAACTAAAATTTTAGTGGCTGATAAAAAGTATGATATAACAGAGCAGGGCAGATTTAAAATCTATCTATGAAATGTATGTCTAACCAAACTTACCCTTTGTGAGTAGAAAGTCTATAACATCTAGTCGTCCAACAGCAGTAGCTAGATAGAGAGGTGTTCTATTGGTACCATCTCCAATATTAATATTACTGCCATTACTTAACAAATAGTCAATCAACTGAAGAAAAAAATTAAAGAGATGTTCCATTCGGGGTAATAAGATCAACTATTTGTGTTCATAAAATACTTATATCTAAATATATGTAATTTCTTTTGAATAAGTTCATATCCTTAAACAAGTCTATTTTTCAGTGTGTATCTAAACCAGTAACATGATAAAACTACTAGTATTGTGCTTTAGGGGGGCAGAGTGATGGCCCGCTGCATCCAATCAAAGAGTTTTTTTAATTTGAAATTCTTAATGTTCACATGGTTGCATCTGTCCTGATTAATTTGAACAAAATGTCTATTTCATCTATTTTACATATTTAAAATGCCTTTTGTCACATTTCTCAGTACTAGGCTCTATACTTGAGTCTTGGAGGGCTAACACTCAATCAATTAGAACAGGGCATCACCAAACCTCTGCACACCACTAGGGTGCAGGGGTTGTCTAGGTTTATATCTGACAACTTAATGTACCTTAACATCAGAATATAAAACTGCTATATGTAGAGGTGTATAACTGGATAATCTAATCTGTCTATATAGATATGGTAGCTTTAAATAACATGGTTCGCCTGAGAAAAATAAAACATATAATTATTTTCTCAAAAAGAATGAAAAAGTAGTTCAAACCAAATCTACAGAAAAATAACATATAAACGTAAATCATAAAACATTTGGAAATACAAAACTAAATATTTCCACCATAAAACTGGAACCCATAATTTTTTTACATCTGAGTATTGTGGTGGTTCACTAACCGGGATGTCCATAGTTCATCTTGGTGTTGGCCAAGGAAGTTTTGTTCTGATTATCCAGTCTGGTATCCTCTGGTCAGTGGTGCAGGAGAGAGAGAGAGAGAGAGAGAGAGAGAGAAATGGGGTTTAATGTCCACTCAACACAAACTAGGTCATTTCGAGATTAAGATATGGTTTAATTTTATTTCAAAAATTTGCTTGCGCTTAAGGGTCTTTATCAGTGGTAGCAAACCGGAGGATCCGGAGAAAACCCACGAGGTTGGACAGGCGACCCTACTCCTTGTCACGTACAAGCAGGGAATCGAAACCACACCAGTTGACTCAATGACAGACTTTTTGGTACAGTGCGCACATGCTAACCATTCAGCCATCCCCCCATCTCCCCCCCCAGTGGTGCAGGTGGGCATGACAAGGAAATGCGTCTAGGTATACTTTTGGCAGCATGTTAAAGAACCTCTTATAGTTGAAAATCAAAGTATGAGTAGGCCTTGGCACCACTGTCAAAATTTCACCTGTAGCAATCTACATGGTGGATGTTTCTCTGTATTAGACCAGTGGCCACAGAAAAGTAAGACTTTAAAAACCCCATTTAATTTCATTTTTAATTTTGTCCCACTATACTGCTGTTTGTTTATAATCGCTTTTTTTTTTACTTACCAGTATGTTTAACATTGACATCAACACCTTGATTAATCTGTCTGGTAACCATAGCAACATCATTATATCTAATCCCCTGAAATATCACCTCACTTTCTTCTGGTATCTCGACAAAAGAACTGTCAGATAATATTGGTTCTCCCGATTCCCATTCCATTTTCTGTCTAATGTTTGGTACTCTCATTTATACCAAAAAAACTGAAGGATAAAGAAAGAAGGAAATGAAATGGGGTTTAACATCCTACTGTTAAAGAAAGAAGGAACGAAGCATAAATTAAAAACTTGACATTGCCATACACAGGGTGAAAAATGTGTTTCAAACACTTAAACATACATTATGCAAGAGCTAAATCTGCCTATTGCAGGTCTTTCTTTAGGCCTGAAATGTTATCTAAATTATTAATTAACTATAATATAAGCGGATTGGAATACATCTTTTGAAAAATTATTTAACGTAAAAATGGATAATCGAGACTCTGTTTTTTTTTATCATACCGGTTCAGAGTGGAGCAATTTGAGTCAATTTGACTGAAGTTCAGCCTATTCTATTTTTTAACTATTATAGCGAGAACTGTCAACTCTTTATCTAAGCTCTTATAACAACCCTCAAACAATTCTAGGTAATGTGAATGTTGAATCATAAAGATGTCGGTTTAGATACATGTTCTACAACATACAATTTCTGGTATAAAACAAGATAAATAAACCCATCAGGAATTGAAATCAGCTATGATTCGGAACATTATTACCCTCTCTTCAATTTGTGCAGAGAAAGAGGGAAAGAGAAATAGGGTGTAACAAACTAGACATAAACTAGGTCATTTTGGGACAAATAGTAAGAATGAAACGAGCTCATGCCTGAGAAAATGTTCATGGTTAGTCAGGCAATTACCCTACACATTAAAGATTAAACATACATTATGCAAGAGCTAAATCTGTCTATTGCGGGTCTTTCTATAGGCCTGAAATGTTTTCTTAATTATTAATTAGACATTAATTAAGTTATCCAGGCCATAATCAAGTCTTGATGGCATCGGATTTCTCCGATATTACCGGTAAATAGATTAGAACATTTCAGCCATATTTTGATTTAAGCTAAAAATGGAGGAGTGAGACTTATTTTCGAACAACCAGTACGGTAGTTAAAATTATTGCACACGGCTTGTCTAACCTTCAAAAGCTAATATCTTCGCTCGCAATAGAGTGATTTGAATGAATTTTTCAAATTATTCATTTTACATTATCTATTTTCGAACTATTATAGCAAGAACGGTCAGCTCTTCATCTAAATCTTACATAATGTATCTTTAACCCATGACTTGCATAACCATAATATCTACAGAGCATGCCTACCCATAGGCCTCCCTATATAGTTTGATTCATGCAACCTTTATCACATCTAAATAACCAGATTTATCTTACTGACACTAAAGGCCCTCAATAAATTGATCATTTAATGATTTATAGGGCTACAATGTTACATTGTATATGATAAGTTACAAAAAAAAAACCTACCTGTTAATATACTGTTGAGTAGTTAACCATTCTAACTTTGTTGAAGATAATGGCAACATGTTGATTTCTTCAAGTAAATACTTCATGAAATTATCAAAATATTAACCTGATCTTAGCAACATCCAATGAATGTCGATTTCATCCTCACTATTATTAGTAATATGGTGTCACTGCAGCACCATGTCCATATAAAGTAAATCTTCTTTCTAAATCTGCAGACAAACTACGTTCATTTATAAAATCTATGAACAGAAATACCTTATATGGCAACTGATACGGATCAATAGTTACAGATAAATATAAATTCATAGCCTAATAAAGTATGGTGGGAGACCAACTGTGCTGAAAGTCATTCTAAATATAGAAATGACGCATTTTTGATTATTTATTGGTTTCTTCAGGACATTTTTGTTTTGTAAAAAATAAATTTTGATAACATTAATATCTCAATTAAAACCCAACAGTCGACGTGAGATTAAATGAATGACAATAATGTGAGATTCAACTTTGGTTTATCTCGAAATTGTCAAAATTCTACTAAAGGAAAGCTGCGGAGGGGAGATAATAAAACCATTAAACAGAGTAAGTTCCCTTTGTAAGAAGTTCAATTTATTTCATTGTATATAATATTCATCGCACATTAAATATAAGATTTGATGTGAATTATCCTTAAATTTGCGTACTGTAAGATAAATCGTTAAAGTCTTTCAAGTCCTCATATGACAAGAGTAATACACAGCTTAGGGTGGAATGGGACTGGTCCAGTCTTTTGAAAAACATCTTTGATACTTGAAATTCAAAGAATGAACCTAAGTTCAAGACAAAATTCTCCTTTGTACTGTACAAGTAACGGAAACATAACATTAATTGACATATATTTGTCAATTTTTAATATTAAAAAAAAAAGAATAAAATTAATGACAGATATTTTTATTAATTATACAAAAAGGAAAACAATACACAGACTTTCTTTAGTAATAGGAACTAGGTGAAACAATTAAAATGCCTTTCTTTGCCTTTCCCAAAAACAAAAAATGCAACTTTTTTACATAGTGAAAACAAATGTATTTTGTTTGTGAAAAAACATTATTCACACAATATATATATATACAATCCTATGAAAAGACAACACAATTCACTTTCAAAAAAATCCTATTTTGATTATTGTTTTTGAAACATACTAAAATATTTATAACTGTTTCATAATACAATCATAAAAAATTTAAGTGATAAATTCATATAAAGTTTTAGTTTATTCTTCTGTCAATCTTATATTCATCTAAACATTTACTGTATTATACAAACTGGTTGACCAACCAAAATTCATTATACAAATAATAATGGCCAATCAGCCTATACAAAGCAATATATAGAAATATGAAAACAGAGTGGACATTAAACAGCACTATAAGAAAAGATATAAATATCCTATGACCAATCAACCAATAAAAAGACATTTAACATCCTCAGTATAAATATGAAATTTTACAATATGATGACTCCCCAAAAAATTAATTACAATTGTTTAAATTATATAACAATTTTATTTTTACAGTTGTCAATCCACTAATCTACAGATATAAGAGTTTAACTCCAATCTACTATTAAATTTCATAATCAGTTTTGGGTCAGTTAAAAAAAAAAAAAAAACATGTTAGAAACATTTCAATAATAACCATGAGTGAGCTAGTGGCCTTTATGTAACAAGCATGTCCCCTACCGGCCCCTAAAGTTTTTTTATTACAATACATGTGAATATATAATGCAATTATGTATCGATGGAATTAATCCTATAAAATTGGATTTTCACTGAATTGGTCTGTAGCATTGCTCTGCATAAGTGTACTAAATTTCAGTTAAATACCTTAAAGTTAAACCGAAAACAATTTTCCACACATGGCTGCAATTCACTAAAAAATTAAAGGAATCCTAGGAAACACAAATTTTATCTGTAGTGTACCATATTTCCAAGTCCTTTTAAAAAACTTTGTGAATACAAAAATCGCAGACAGAGGAATGGACGGGCAGAGGAAAAACACCCCTTCCGGTTTCACCGGTAGGGGACTAATAATTATTTCTACACGAAATATTACATGAATTCCTAATGAAATATTACACTATACAAACATGAAATAATTCACAGTGATTAAAAAAAAAAACCTGAGACTTATTCCCATCTGTAAACCAATTAGAAATTGTGTCAATACCTGATTGTAAATGTCTCTTATTAGTGGTTTCGGCATGGCTTCAATTTAACACTTGCAAGTCTTTACAAGAAATTAATATCATGACTATAATGTTTATCATTGTAGAAAATGAATTCTTCGACTTTACAAAGGACAAACAAATAATAGAATAAAAGTTATGTGTGCCCCGATGTTGATCGAACACAAAGAAAATATGAAGAGATCAACATGGGTGCATAGCTGCGTAGTTAGCCAATCAGAGCAAATATAATTTGACAATCGGAAACAACGGTTAATCTTTCTATCTAGTCCTCTTCCTCAGATTCTGAAAAAAATACAATAATCCAAATTAGGCTATATGAAAAAAAAAATGGTTTGCAGACCATCTGTCCAAAAAACTTGAGGCATCACCGAATCATCACCCAAGGAATAAAGCGCTTAAAAAAAAAAAAAGGCATAGGTGACCATTTCCTGATAAGAATGAGTACATATATATAATTTTTCAGTCTCAGTTACAAATGTCAACAAATTCAAGGATGCGTACTTGATAACTGTATCTTAGGTTAACTTCCAAATTTAATAATACAGGAAATATGAACCAGGGCCCGGTTCCTAGAAAATTCTTAAAGTAAGCACAAAGTCATGCTTCACTTTTTCTTACGTAAGAAACTTATAAAAATACCGTCCCTAGAAAATTCTCAAGACCATTCTTACGAAAGCACAAGTCAAGTATAACTCTAAGCACATTGTGACTGGTAAAGTTTATCATAAACTGAGAGTACGATGCTCTTTAACGTCATAAAAACAACTTTGGTATGCGAATTACGTCCTAAATTTGTTGTCTGCTTCATTGACGTCATAATATATATATGGTTCATTTCGATGCATTTGACATGTCCCCTATTCACATATAAAATGTGCCACAAGATAAAAAAAAACTGCAGACACATACAAACTAACTGAATAATTATGAGAGCGCCTGATCTTAAAGTAGCCTGTGTGTTTGTTTACTAATTGGCAAATAAATAAAATGGTTTCAGGGTAGGCCTAGAAGCGAAATTTTCTATAGCATTCTTAATTTGAAATTTCTTTTGGAGAAGGATTTTCTCTGTCTTGTAATTGTCTCTTTGGTATCAAAAGGTGTCGGAAATGCTGTCGAATAACTCTACGGTCAGCCATCTTTTTGAAGCAGAAACAGACGTAAGTTGGTAAGCAAGCCCTATACCTTGCTTGGGACTTGTGCTTAGATTGACTATGTTTAAGAACGAAGTTGTGCTTAAGTTTTTTCTTGGAACGCATAATAATGTTCTTGTGCTTACAATGAAGTCTACTTAAAATCTAAGCACAAGAAAGTTCTTAAGAATTTTCTGGGAACACAAAATAGGTTAAGTTTACTTAACTGCAAAGTCTACTTAAATCTAAGCACAAGAACGTGTTTAAGAATTTTCTAGGAATCGGGCCCTGAGGTCCATGAGAATGTTATTTTTTTGAACAAATTTTTATGCAGCATTTTTGGAGGTACTCGGCAATAACTTAACATTTTTCTTTTACATGGCCTTATGCATTGGCAGTGTTATTTCCTGTTCAACAATCTCATATTAAATATGCTACTACTTTATGTATAATCCAGACATGCTGCTATTTGAAAATAGGCATTCCACTCTAAAGCTTTAGAAATTTTTTTTTTTTCCCATAAAACAATCCTATTTACCTTCCTCAGCATTCTCCAGCCATTCAATGAATTTTTTCATTTGATCCAAAAACACACTCTTTCCTTTATTAGAATGATTGGACTTAAACCAACGTACAATGGTTTCTTCACTTAAAACATCAGCTGAAAAGAAATGTATGAAATAGGTTTGTTTGTTGTGCATGATTTAGAACATTGGCCCATGGATTAACAGGAATCAGATTTCTATACATTCCAGGCATATGCAACATAATATTCTCTTCAAAAAAAGTAGGGGATATTGAAATGCAAATACCTATGCAGGTTGTGGTATGATAAATAGTCATGGACACTTGACATGCTTTGAGAGTATTTTCACAGATGAAGAACTTATCGCCCCAACAGAACCACTGTGCTGCACATGCGACACGCAATAGCACCATACACGTGGGAGGGGTTCGTTGTCAAATCTGACACTTCAAGGAAGGGTTGATGAAAACTGCTGCATGCTGGTTTATCTATCCATGTTTGCTTTCCTATCGGCTCTTGCATAAGATTTACTGTTTAGCGTTTCTTTGCTTTAGTGTGTTACATTTAATTTGATCGGGAGACGTGTTCGTCGACGTCAACCGACAACACTGCAAAAATTGGCTGTGGGCACTGCAAGAGGATTGCCCCAAATCGTGATTGGACGGTTGATTAGGAGCATGCCACGACGAATTGCTGAATGTCTGAGGATTGGTGGAGCAATTACTCATTATTAAAGGGACAATAACACTCTTGCCGGCTTGAAAGCTCCAGAAAAAAAATAATATCTCTATCTAAGTACTAGATGTTTAAGTGTCCTACCTGTTGTGTAAATTATCCATTACAACCTATTTTACTTGTCCAGAGGGTTCGGAAATATTTTTAAATCGAAGTTTCATTTGAAAAGGTTTACGTTAGACGTTTCAAACCATTATGTTGAATTTTTCAAAATTTTTAAATACGGTGTGTTAAGATGAAATTTGTATCATCAATTAATTGAAATATTCTAAAATAGTACAATTTGTTGACCAGAATAAAGATTGGGACATATTATTCAGTTACAACAAGAGTGGTATTGAGCCTTTAAGACAAAAATCAAAAAAGTCCATTTTCACTTTTGGCGGTGTATCTCTTTCCGAGTGAAATTGGGCCGTCAGATAAGTCGCCATATGAACTGTTTATGTTCATGTGTAGGCAATTGGCCTGTTATTAACATACACTGGTTACCTCTAATAAAAACATCAGTGCATTTCTGCAGTTTTGTATTGTTCTGAATATCCCCTACTTCCTGTATATTTTGGGTATATTTTTCATCGAACAACAAGCAGATTGTTAAATGAAATGTTCAAGACATCTCCAAATTGAAATTGATAAAAATATTTACTTTTATAGAGGAGAACAATTATCTTCTGGAAAACTTTCATAAAGTGAATATTTTCATAACAGTATTCCTGAATTCTCAATATGAGGAGTTGTTCCGATTTGTCGCTTTGTGTCATCGTCTTCAACAGAAGAACGTAATTACGTAAATGTTTCAATGCCTGTTCTGCTACCAAATCTTCCTTTTTATTCCATTCAATTCCTGCCATCAATGTATTCCAAATCTACAATCCAAACAAATGAAAGGTTAAAATGCATAATGTATCAGTAATAATAAAGACGTAAAAAAATCAATTATTATGTAACAAATTAAATTAAATAAGTCTGCAATTAGGCCACACAAACTGATTTTTTATTCTTCAGGGTCTTCATAAGTAGCCACTTGAATGATGTTCTGTCTAAAATTTCAAAACTTGGAAACAACAAAACAAAGTGCTTTTGGTCTTTAAATAAGTCATTTTCTCCGATGAAACAAGAAGGGAGCTGCAGGTTTTCCCAAAGAACCGAAAACCAAATTAGTGGGGCCTTAGTGTGGAAAATGACGATTATCAGAAACTGATTGGTTTCATGGTCAACATGTTGGCCCACAGGTACACCCCAGTTTACCAATTTCTGACCAGCAACTGATATAAAATAATAAAATACTTACAAGAATAATGATATCACTGTCTGAAAAATCATTCTTTTCCATTTCTTCTTTTACATACAAAACCATCTGAAAATGACCAAATATCGTAAAAGGTAAATACAAAGTCTTTGAATATCCACTATTAATTGGTGAGAGAGTTCTACTCTATTCAATAACTAAGCCATCAAATGGCCTACGGAGTTGGTTATGCACTGTTAAGTGAATAAATGTCTAAAAAACAATGAATATAACATTCAAAATAGGCACATTTAATTGTTTCATAATGCATCTTGAATATGAACAAAATGTCAATTAGATGATAAATATAACAACAGCTACAGTGTCCATAAGAAAATTCAAAGTGATGAAGTTATTCAAGAGGCTCCTGAGTCTTTTGAACAAAAATACAGTGTATAAATTTCATGTCATCAGATGATAACTGTAGTGTTTAGATTTTTCAAAGTGATCACCGGCCATAATTCTAAAAATTATTAAAAATTCTTTGCAACGTAACTATAACAATAAATTTTCAAAGTCATTCTGACGACATCTTTAGCCTTTAGAGCCTCAAAGAAATATTTTAAAAGATCAAGGGTCATAACTCTGGCAGCAATCACCAGGAATCAATAGGCTTCTTCATAATATGAACATAAAAACTGTGTATAAATTTCAAATCAATCTTGAGTTTATAAGCGTGTCCATAAGTAGGTACATGGCTGTCCGTGAATTGAAAAATCTGGTTTATATCACCCTTAACTAGTCAGCTCTTAGCTGTCGAACCATAGTCACATTTCAAGTGACAACATCGAGCGAGTCCAGAATCAATTGGCTACTTTGCCACATGAACATAAACACTGTGTATAAATTTCAAATCAATGGGATAATGCCTTAATCCTTTAAGAGTGTCAACAAGAAATTGTGTACTGAAAGGCAGTGGTGACACAATAAATTCAGTTTGTAACTTTACCTCTGCTGCAGATTCTTCATCTTTAAACATGTTAGCCAGCTCTTTTCTAACTTCTTGTTTTACTTCGGTAGTTGCTGACCGATTCTACAAAATAATATAGATTTACGTGCAGTCAGACAAATGAAATGAAGTGGGGTTTAATGTCCTACTGTTCTGCTTTGACTGGGCTAATGAAGACAGGCAAACACCATACAGTGTGCTATGAAGGACATTCTGAACAGAAAGCGGTACTACGTATACACAGGGCCTCAGTTTTTCATCTCATTCGAACGACAATAAGTTGTCCCTTGCCAGACCCTCCTTCCTGCACCATTGACAAGGGGGAACCATGCCGGAAAATCCTGATGAACCTTCTCGATCAACGCAGGGATCGAACACAGGACATCCAGATTAGCGAGCCAACATCTTCATCACTGAGCCACCGTGATCGTATGATATAAAAGAGATGGTGTATGTGTTGCTTCAAGTAGCTTAATATGCAAACCCGGAATTAAAGATTTTAATTGTCAATATGACACGCATTGTTAAGTTGTACCAGACATTTTGAACTATTAACACAAACACAGAAAAAATGACAAACACCAGAATAGAACCTGAAAATTCTGAGTCTGTGCCAGACATTGTATGGTACGGGTGAGTCTCTTTTCCAGCCATGTCAATATGGCATATTTATTTGACATTGTACATCTTCAGGTATTACTATATAATATCTTAAAACAATTAAAATCAGGTATAACTGTCAGACAGGTTGCCAAATGCACAAAAAACTAACCTGTAACTCAGCTATAGCACCAAGTCCTGCTTCTTTGAAATAAGCTGTAAACTTTTCTTGACTTCTCTTGTTAACAGGGAAGAGCTCCTAAAAATCAAAGATTAAGTGCTGAGTATATTACATCATGCCTTTAAAACAGGAGAACTGAATAAATCGAATTACTCATATACTGTTCCTTTTAATTGAAAATATAGCTTTCAAGCTGTTTGGTTTAACTTTTCAGAGGCTGCATCACTTCCTTGATGTCTAATGAGAAGCTTGAGATTGATTTTGTTAGAGATTTTTCTCGAACCGAGTCACTAGTAAAAGCATTCAGTCAAAAGTCCTTTAACATCTCTCCAACTTTTGTTTTCTAGTAGATAGATGTTGATACATAGACGTGGATTTGTCAAGCAATCTCGACAATATATGTCGATACTGAATGTGGGTGTACAAAAATGTAAGTAAAGCCCTATATTTACCATTAGTCTAGCTTCTATTTGACATTTCTTTAAGCTACTGGTAAGATGAGAGATATCCTTCTCATTCAACCAGGTTTTAAACATCAAGGAGGTAAACTCCAGGGACAAACCTGGAATATATAGAACATAAATTAACAATCAATCTAATCTTTGTCCATAAATATTTATAACCAAATTGCTGGAAAAAATTCAATGAAATATTATGACCATAGGGGCTAAGTTGTCCAAGAAGTCTATAAAGGGAGGGGGGGGCGGCATCTTGGTCAGTACAAATTTGTAGAGAATTATCAAATCAAATGTGTGCTTTAGATCATACGGTCTACCATTTAGTCAACTGACATGGTTTCAATTAAAGACATGTATGTCCAACCTCATGGGTTTTCTCCTCGTCCTCTGGTTTCCTTCTACTGCTAAAGACCACCTACATGCAAGTGAAGTGAATTATTGAAATAAAACTGAACTATGTATTAAACCAAAATGACAGTTTGTGTTGAGTAGGCGTTAAAATAAACCTGATTTCTCTCTTTTTCTGTATGGAAATTGCTACTCAAGTTTTTAAAACTTATGCCTGATCCTTTTGACATTTCTCAATACAATCTATTTAAACAAAGCTGACAACAATAATTTTTGTGGGTATGTATAAATTTAACAATACCTTCTTTAGCCAAGTGTTCTTCAAATAATCCGTCCAAGATCTTGGCTGAACAGAGAGAGTTGGCCAGGATGAGACCTGTAATAATGGCAAGTTTTCGTCTTTCATCTTCTTTAAAACTCTTCAAAAACACTAAAAGCTGAAAAACAAAACCAAAAGAACAAAACAAATAAGAAATGTGGTGTAATAACTCAAATTTGGCTACTTTGGTATAAACATACAAAACAATAAGGTTTAAAGTCTTATCAACACAATACTGAAGTTATTTTAAGACTGACATGTGGGGTTTTTTTCTGTGGTCACAGAAGTGTTTCTAGTTACTCTTCTTTTACATACACTTAAATGTATATACAAGTGGACCTGTTTCAGGCAAAGGCCCCAACGATTGGGATCAAAGTCCGAAACATGACCTAGCCAGCTTAATGAAGATGTTTCAATGGTTGATTATTTTCCTTTCAAGATGACAAATAAAATCTTGGATAATTGACAGTATTTTGTTGTTTTAAAATGAAGTTTTTACCTTTCTTAGATCTTCTTCAAAAGCTCGCTCAAGGAATTTATATCTTCGTAGTAATTTATATAAAACCTAGATAATAAAATATAACTGATTAGTGGCAACCATGCTTGAAAAGTCCAAATAAATGTCTGGGATCAGTGTTGGGACCTTCTGATTAGTGGACTAGTGGCCTTAATGAAAGACTGTAGCTCACTGCAAGAGATGGATAGAACAAGCTAAAATAAAGAAATGATTTTTTCGCTCAATCAAGGGCCATAATCCAGGAAGTTACGGTTAGTAGATATGTGTGAATATCTACAGGAACCTAGATATTTGGGATATAAACATATTTTAAGATTCATCAAAATTGTGACCTGTAGGGTGTCCACAAATATATTGTGGATGGACAGATGTCCGGACAGTGACGACGACATAATAGGTCCACATGGAAATGTGGGAGTATAAAAATATACTTTGCTTTCACATATCCAATAAAAAAAAAAAGTCCTATAGTTACATTAAGTTCAACTTACTTCATAAAAGTCTTTTAATTTGTCCACGCTTTCTTCAGTTTTAAAGACACAGACATCAGTTTGAAATGGTTTGTCTGGTTCTGCTTCTTCGATAAGTGATCCTCCAGGAGCTTAAAAAGCAGAAACATAAAATGCAATTTTGTGTATTGCAGCAATGTGGGCGTATAAAAATTGAAAAGAAGTCTCTTCCTGGAGAGGTCTATTTACTGAGAACACAGACTCTTCAGGAAAATATGTATTAACTACTTCACTTGTGGATAATTCTAGTCTATCGAGTACACAAGAATGTGAGCGTACATTGTATATATATATTTCAAAGAAGTAGCCAATGGTATTATAGACCATGAATCTAAGCCCTAATTTTCTCTTCATTAAATCTCTATGCTTTCTATGGAGCAGAGCAACCATGTTTGAACAAATCACAATAAGCATTACCAACAAAAATACAAAGAAGTCCAACCAGCGGGTTATAAACATGGATTTCAAGTTTCATCAAATCGGATCAAAATTATAGACCTTCAGAGGATCCACAACCTTGATATACCATATTTTTTACACTATTTGCGTCGAGGGAGCGACCATTTTGTCCTGCAGTTTTAGTCTGATTTTCACGAAATCCGAATCCAAGCATCATTTCAGTGTAAGGGTGATATATTTAAACTTTTTTTTTTAAATCGGATAAGGCTAAAAACATGATTTTTCGTCCAATCAGGGGCCATACTTCAGGAAGATACTGTCCGAAATGCGCAAATATCGAAAGGAACCAAGATCTTTGCGTTATAAACATGGATTTCAAATTTCATCAAAATCAGATGAAAATTGTGACCTCTAGAGTGTCCACAAGCTAAAATCGTGATTATTCGTACAATCAGGGACCATAATCCATGAAGTTATCACCCGATATATGCCAGTATCGTAAGGAACCGAGATCTTTGGGAGATAGACCTATATTTTAAGTTTCATCAAAATCAGATAAAAATTGTGACCTGTAGAGTGTCCACAAACAAATTGTGGATGGACGGACAGGGCCGACGACAATTTGCTCCTCCCAAGGTGCCCCAGTCTTGCCTAAACACAGTGGAACAAATCTGAATAATCATTATCCTAGCAACATCCCTATCATATTTGGCAATTTACAACTTACCTAAATGTCCACCTGCAAATAGGACATTAAAAAGGACATCCGCATAACGCCGATAATTCAAACGGCCTCCAGCAGAGTCCAAAAATTTGGCAACCTATGAAATGAAAAATAAGCTTTTATAATAGACTACATTTCATTTCTTCTAAATAGCTTTACAGTTTAATGAAAATATCTTTATATGAGGCTGACCTTAAAAATATCTTTGTTTCGCCTAACGCGACCGACTAACTAAAACCACCCCCGACTTAAATTATTTTATTGCACTTTTCCGTGATCTTTTTATTTTATTTTGTGTGTCAACCTGAAATATATCACGAGAGTTATTTTCCTTTACTATGGCTATGGTTTGATTCATTATTAAAACTGGTTGATCAAGACGAAAGCATCATAGGTGTCGCTTCTCAACAAAATGGTTGCAGACGAAAGCACGTCCATTCCCACGAAATGATTCTGCCTCTATTTTTCTCGAAAACGGATATTTTCAATATCCGTTTTCGAGAAAAATGAAGGCACAACCCGCACAATCGTTATAAAACGTGTTGAGGGAGTTTCAAACGTCAGTTTGTGGCAATTCGTGTGCGAGTCGTGCATCACGAAAAATCCCGATGTCATTGATTTGTTTGCCAATAAAAGAAGACGAATGTTTGCACCCGGAAAATTATCAAGCTGTCAAATTAGCTCTTAAAAGAAAATCTGAAAAAAAAACCGACCTACCGACCCTTCTCCTCGATTGTGGGTCGGGTTTGGTGAAACAAAGATATTTTTAAGGTCAGCCTGAGCACTCAATTTATAATGGGTTTTCAACAAGAATTCAATGTGTTGTGTACAACTATCTAGACTTTTACTATTAACTTTGGGCCTTGCATTGATAAGAATAGTGATATATAGTAGGATATATTGAGTGTCCTCTTAAGTAATAACTATTTCTGAATTGTTTACTTTATTACCTGTTCTAAATCCGAGCCAGTTTCGTTGAGTCCTTGGATAATCGCGTCTCGGAAAACAATAGGATCGTATTTTTCTTTTTCATCTGAAAAATAAAATAACAGAAAAAAATAATGGAATGTTCAAACTAACTATATTGTATGATTTAATCATGGACTGGGGTAACAATATCTTTTGGGATAAAGTCAACAATGTCATATTTTTTTTTTAATTTCAAATAATTTCTGGTGGTCTAAAGATATGTAGCCTAATTAATATATTAGTACAAAAGTAAAAGACATAAATGATGTTATGCCTAGTTGGACTAATTTCTTACTTCAAATAACAAATGAAATAAAACCTAAGAAATATGACTCGATGTTTCTCTGTGTATAAAATTCTGGGATTGAAGTTGGCTTATCTCGTGAGAGAGAGAGAAATGGGGTTTAACGTCCACTCAACACATACTAGGTCATTTCGGGACTAAGATATGGTTCAATTTTATTTCAATAATTCGTAGTGCGTAGGGGTCTTTAGCAGTGGGAGGAAACCGGAGGACCCAGAGAAAACCCACATGGTTGGACAGGCGACCCTACTCCTTGTCACACAACCGGGGAATCGAAACCCCACCAGTTGACTCAATACAGCGCGCGTGTGTGCAAACCATTCGCCATTTAAAAATATGTCTCAAGTTTCCATTTTTTCTGGGATTTTGAACTTGAATAAATAATACGAATAGAATCGGTCATTGTTACCAAGTAGCCCAACAAATTACATTGCACTCACCCCTCTTCCTGGTCTTCAGTCGCTGGCCAGATAGCGATGGTTTTTCTGCCTTTTGACTCATACAAATTTCTGGAAAAAAGATAAATATAATTTAACAACAGACATAATTCACATAATGAAAGTATATTCCCAAAGCATTTGCAAGCAGACAACTTGTCTACGATATCACCTTAGGTGGAAGTGGACGTAAAACTCTAGAAACGAACGAACGAAGAAGACATTATGGGAGGAATCGATTGGCAGACCAGGGCTCAAAATTCGACAATCTGTATCAGGCCATTATTTGACAGCAAAGCTTCTCTAGTCTAACTTCTATTCTAAGGTCATTTTGTTAAAACACTATCTGAAATTATCGAATGCCATTTCTAGAAAATGTTGAAAACTGAAATAATCTTCAATAATGCATTGACATCATTCAGTTCATTGAATTGGCTAATGGTTCAAATTTTTATCGATAATCCGTAAGCTGCCCTTTGACAAGCATTTACATCGATAAATTAGTGTGTACACAAAGAAAAGTCTTTTCTGAAAATAATTGAAATGGCAACGATCAAAGCGGGATAGTTAAAACTGATTAACAGATAATCCTGATGTTATTGTAATATGTGTAACGAAATCTTACGGTTGTTTCTTTGATGGGGAAAAGTCGTTTAGCGGAGCCCGAAAAGTCATTAGACCAAATCCAAAAGCTGAAAAGGTCACGGGATCGAAACGTGGTGCTAATTTTTTTATTTTTTTTTTTTTTTTTTATCTAAAACCGTTCTGGTAATTTAGTATGTACAAGTCAGGAATCAGATCTGATATTCCATTTCCTAAATTATTTTATCTTGTTTTAATGTTTGTACTTTGCAAGTTTGTGCCATTGGCCATTGGTTGGATTTGGTATGGCCTAAATATAAATTTGTACTTGAAATCAATACACACCAAATCAGTAAAAATAATATCTAAAGATGCAGAGAATTGAAAATTACAGAGTTTTGATTATGTCCAGCCTAGTACTTCAGATTAAATTCAAAGGGAACCAAACTCAAACCCGTTGTATTTATTTGTGATAATTTCCATCATGGCTTCCCTGTTGTATTTTTGTGATTCACGTTTACTACGTCTTTGAATGGGCACGTGCTCTACCACGGCGTGGATTTTATTGTTTGATCACGTTTTGATCGTTAGTTGGACAGTTTAAGCATTCTATTACATAAATATTTCTCATTAATGTTAACCGTACCGTGTTTTTACGTTAGTTTTGCTCGCACAACGTTCCTTGAAAAATACGATAGGCCTACTTCTTTCTTCAACAGGAACTTGATGACTGAATTCTCGTTCAATCTCGCACGAGTCCGCTTACAAGGACGAGACTTCCAACATGGCGCTGTCCTTAGCGAAATTAACGAGGACTAATAATAAAGTTTTAGTTCAGGTATAAATGGATTTGAAAATTTAATAGGAAGCTTCTTCAATGGAAATAGTTAATATTTGATTTGAAATGTGCAAAAAAATAAATAATTATTAGTTTTGCGTATGTCTGTCTACCGCCGAGAATCAATCGACAACTTAATACATTTAGCCTATTGATTATTTATTATTGTTTATTTAGCAATAGTAAGGGTTTAACAGTTTATTTAACAATAAGTACAACTCAGTTAATTGACTGCTATTATAATAACAAGGGGATGAAACAGCCTGGTAAAAAAATAGGTTGGGATGAATATGCAACAGGCATTACCCGAGTTGAGCGAAGCTGATGTAATTGTTGTCAAATATAAAAGTAATTAAAACCTTCAAGTGATACAAAAAATGTTAAATAATTTCGTTTTTCCAAATTGATTTTAATTTAGACCTAAATTATATGATTAATTTTGTTTAAAAAGAAAAGAACAAAAAAGTGTGAAAATTATTTTCATTGACGTCAAAAATATGTGATTTCGTTGATTAGACGTGACATAGAAATATTTTTATGAGACGCGTAGGTGAGTTGGCATATGCATTGCCAGTTTTGCCAAGTGTATCCGGTTCTGGTCTGAATTTTTTTTTAATCAACAGTCTGTGCGTGACAGTTTTGGTCACACCCCTGTGTTACCGGAAAAGAGCTTTGCTCAAGCACCGGGCATTGCGTGATGCTTTAGAACTTCGCTCTATATTAAATTACGACATTTCATGTTGTAGAGGGGGGGGGGAGGCGAATGGTTTTCAGCGCGTGCGCATTGTATCATAAGGTGTGTCATTGAGTCTCTTGGGTTTTTTTTCGTTTCCCATTTTATACGTGACAAGGATTAGGTTCACCTGTCCAATCTCTTAGGTTTTCTTCAGATCCTCCGGTTTCCTCCCACTGCTAAATTAAGACCCCTATGCCCAAGCGAATTTTTGAAATAAAATTGAACCATGTGTTGGTCCTGAAATGACCTAGTTTGTGTTGAATGGACGTTAATCCCCATTTCTCTCTCACAACATTTCAGACCCAGTTTGACGACGGTTAGGACTAGTTACTTTTTATACTTTTTAATAGTATCAATGTTAATGGTGCCTGATAGGATTAGCCTTTCACTGTTACTGCCTGTCCCTATTAACATGTAATAAGAAAATGACGCTTTACACCACCTTGATTCTGAAGCTATTTTGGAATCCATACCATCTGTTTTTCGCCGTGATTCTTCTTTGTTCGCCAAAAGGAATCATTTTTCGACACATCTGACACAAATGTATAATAATTCAACACTATTTTCAAGTAGAATTTTGCGATTCAAAAACACAAATAAATTCGTTTGATACGGCTATGTTACCGATCACAAAAATTCTTGCTGTACTAAAGATATGAACTAAACTGTCAATATTGATACCACTAAAGTTTTTGTATTCAACATACATTAACAATTATTACATAAAATCGATTAATACATAGGCCTAATTGAAGTATTACAAGAATTATCGTTTACGATAACATTCCATTCCAAATTTTTGAAATATGGGATCTAAAGTTAGAGAGCCAATGTCTAACTCACTGAGTCACCATGGCTTCATGAAAAAGCTTATTATTAACTTATGGGCATAATGTTACTTTGCTAATCAGTTACAGATAACGTACATTTATCATCTTTTTTTTTTTCACAGGGCTTTGATGCAATTAATATAGTAAGAAAAGGAGCTCCAGTCATTTTTCAGCAACAGATTGCAAGGTTTCCATCGTCAAAGCATTATGAGCCCAAATTTAGAGAATTGAGGAGAAAGAAGTTTTTGAAGGTAACAATATGTTTGTCTGTTATATTCTTTGAATGGCATTTAGTAATTGGAACATAATCAAAAACACACTTTTATGGATAACAATTACTATGGTTTATTTCACTGCGACGTTTCAACAAGGTTTCACAAGTCGTTATCAAGCATATACACAAATAGATAAAAATGATTCGTTCGTTTGTTTCTGGGGTTTTACGTCCACTTCCACCTAAGGTGATATCGTAGACAATATAAAAATGAGAAAGATATGAATATATATATATACAAACATCAGTGCGAACTATCCAATGGAATGGAAGGTGAGTGAGCATGATTTGCTATAACAAGCTATTGATGTAACAAAGGTGCATAATCGTATATATTAGAATTGGCTTATTGTACAATTAAAAGATGAAACAGGGGATTAACCAAGATTAACAAATATTGAAACCATGCACAGTGTACCATAACTGAAACCAGTATATACTAAGATTGACTAAATAAACATTCAAGAAGATCAAACTGGGGTTTTATAGAATTATATCGAAACCATAATCTTTACATTGATTATAACAGTTAAGAAATATAGAATTTTACGGTTATGTTTTAAAGTTAAGAAATAAGTTGCATATATGTATTTACAAGGTAAATATATATCAAAGGGTTAAAAAAAAAAAAAAAAAAAAAATGATAAATTACGCAGAATGCCCTATGATGAACCTTTTTATATTTATAAATATGAGAGGTAAGATATATTGTAATTGAGTTACATAACATAAAATACTGTGAATAGCTAAATAAATTATATAAAATAATTGAAACATACAAATTTTACATATTGATAACGAGGATTATAAAATGTGAGGGTTGTGGGTATGGAGTATACAATCGATTCAGTATTGAAAAATGCCAGTAGTAGGGTGACCCGTGCACTCTACAGAAAGTTGGTTCGACACGGCTAAATGTGCACGCTTCAGTTGCGTGTCTCGAACTGATTTCTGACTACCCCGCACTCTCTTTGAGTCGATAAATAGCCATGGCACGTGCAATTCTCTACAAATATATCAACTATTACAGCCGTAATAAATCTATTGTTGACGATTTTGAATAGCAGTAAAATTTAGCTTCTTGGTTATTACAGCAGCTTTAGAAATAACGTTTGTTTTATTTTTTAAATTGCTTTATCATTAACTGTACCGTTAAGTGCTGCATCTTTTGGTTTAGTACAAATAATATCTCTGAAACACTCAGGTTGGACAAGAACATGATACTAGCAGTTGTTTCATTTTACTTTTACAAGTTTCTTAAAACAATTGTTGAGTTGTCTAAAGTGCTTATTTCTAAATTCAATTTCTTGTTCTGGCTTTCTGTTATGTTTCGTAAAAATGTAGTCATGATTATCCCGACCTCTCAATCAGACGTAGAATGGTCGATAGACTGGTTAAGCGAGACTAATTTCAAAACAAGGGCACGTAACCTATCTTTTACTCAAAAGTGTCTGGATTTATGGACGACATTTGGAACCAGTTTTCAGTCTATTATTTATAGATGATTAATGGTCATAGCTTATTAAGTGCAACATGATCGTTTATTTAGTGACTATAATTGTGTGAAACTGATTTGAGGCTTGGCATATATATAAATATTGTGGCGTAATTGTCGAGATATTTGGAGATATTTATTTATGGTGGGTCACCCTACCAGTAGTTAATATGGTTTTGCATGGGGAATTACTTAGGGGGACTGTGTTTACAATTTGATAATGCGGTCATATGCTCTGGGTCTCGATTCAGTTTCGGTTCATGTCTTCTAATGTTGATGGCCTCATGTATTCTTCTGTTTCTTTTGTTGTGGTGGTTCACAGCCAACGTTTTAACTTTGGTCCAATCGACACGGTGCCGTGGGTTGTTTGTCTGTTCATTACAGACTTCATTACACCCATGTACCGGTACTTACAATCACACAAGGAAAATAAAGGTAGTTTGAATGTCTGATCAACATAATAATTTGGTCATTTTTACTCAAATGTATGGTTGTTTTGCCCAGACATCTGCTTTTCTGGTATTTCAGACAAATGAGATCAGGGCTTGAAAACTGTTTGATAGAGAAACTTGTGAACCTTACACAGGAGTTCATGATGAAAATTTTTGAAGCTTGGTTCAATTTTTCTTTGGTCATACTATTTGTTTTCATGTTCAATTGGGATTTTATAGACCCTGCACTCCTGATTTGAAGGTAGCCAGTCATTTTTTAAAATGCTTAAAAATGATAATTTTAATTATTAGATAAATCTACCAGATTATCAGAAACTTAGAACAGAGAGAGATTTACCTGCTGATGAGGCCCGTATGAACATGAAAAAAGAGGGGAGATTACCACCAAGAACTTTTCAGGAGAGACCTGTTAATATTTCCTGTACTAGTAAGTTTTTTCAAGTCTAAAAAATATGTTAAACATAATTAAAATAATTAAAGCTTACACTATGTATAAGCTTTCAAGCTTACTATTTATTTAATCCAAACTATAAGATCTTATTGCAGATAAATTAAATTGTAGCCCAAGTTGGATATTTTGTGGATTCAGACTGGTCAATATAAGAGCATCGAATGATCTGAGTATAAAATTCCTCTAAATTTCATGGGGCGACTCCCTGTGAATAAATATCTCTTTTGCACCAGAATGGTCTGTCAGTGGACAACAATTTGACACTCAAAAAAGTAATCCCAGCAGATCTTCATGAAATCTTGGTTGTATGTCATTCACAATGAAATAAACCATTCGTATATTGAAGCACACACCTAAAATTTACAAAGAGGCACAGTTATGGTTTTTATTTGGAAAAAAAAGATAATTAAAGAAATCTATGTAAGATTTAGATAAAGAACTGTCCATTCTCCCTAATATTTCAAAAATAGATAATGTGAAATGAATATATTGAAATTTAATTCAAATTACTTTATTTTGAGCATAGTTATCAATAGTTGTAATCTTGACAAGATGTGTGCATTGATTGTACTGGTCATTCAAGTCTTAGCCTCGCTTCTCCATTTTTAAATTAAATCATTAAATGGCCGAACCATTCTAATCTAATTAAAATCAGAGCAATGCGATGGCATCAAGAGTTAATTATGGTCTTGCATTGATAATATCTGTCTAATTTATAATTTATGTAGCATTTAAGGCCCAAAGAAAGATCTGCAGTAGAAAGATTTAGCTCTCACATAATGCCTATCTAAATTTTATTTTAATATTGCTCTCATAATGGGGTCTAGCTATGGCTATTTGGACTGGAAAAACTCCCAATGTTTTGAAGATTTCACTCAGCGATCTCGGCCTCTAGTCATTGAAGCTGTATCAAATGAACAAATAACTTTGAACAGGGCTATTGATCTCCTAAAGTAAACTTAATTTTACATGTGAAAAAAATAGACATAAACCTGGCGCACACTACGCGACGACATAGGCGATTTCGGTCGCCGACGATGAAAAATCAAAAAATCGCCTAGTGTGCGCACTCGATTGCTGCGATGGTCGCCGATATCAGACTTGTTTGATATGATCGCCCAAGTTGTCGCTTCATCGACAACAAATCGTGTAATGTGCTCACTTCGATGACAATGAAGAAAATAAATTCACCTATTAAACCAATCATTTTTGGTTATTCTTCTCATGTGACATAACCACACACGAGATTTCTCAGAATTTTTTTCTGTTGCATGTATAATATTAAGTGACTCGGGTAATCTAATTGAAATTAAGTTTGGAATTCTGGCAAAGCTGTCGAATACATATGGTAGGCAGAGTGGATTGTTCCGTCTATATAGCAATGTACTCAATAATAATATAGTCCTAGGATTCATAGATGGTAATTAGAATGGTTTTTTTTCCCCAGTACCTGTAGCAAGAAAACGGAGAGTAACCATCAATTTACAGGTCTCACATGACGAAGCACGTGACAGGGTGTTTTTTCCGTGATCACCAAAGTCGTTGTGTAGTGTGCTCAATCCACTTATATTGAGGCGATATTTGTCGCCTGGCTCGTCGCTTAAGTTGTCGCATAGTGTGCACCAGGCTTTATTATTTTATTGGTCTAATGAATACTAGAGTCTGACTGACATACAGCATATGAAAACTATTGATAAGACATGCATGCATCTAAGTCAGACAACTGAGAAATTTGATCAGTAGTCTAGGCCAGACAAGGTTTGCAGTCGTTCTTTGCATTGTATAGTTCTCAGTATATTTTTGCTTGCATTCTTCTGGTTGATTTTATTCATTCTCTGAATTCAATCCTGCGCTCCATTTGTTTATTATGTACTATCACTACCAACATGTCATTAAAAACATATTCATGCTAAGTTTGGGTCTATGGTACTAAATGCAGAACAAAGCTTGTAATATCTGCATTATACATACGATCTCTGTGTATTATAGTATATTTTTATCTCTTTTTTAGCCTCAGTATTTGAGCCCTTCATTCCACCAGAAGGTGATGGAAAATCATCTATGTTATCTACTGAGGTAAAAAAAAATTAGTTTAATGTTATAATGATACAACAATGATAGATTGTTTCATCAATTCTATTATTGGGGGCCACGGTGGCTCAGTGAGTAAGACATTGGCTCGCTAACCTGGAGGTTCCGTTTTCTATCACTGATTTTCCAGCGTGTTTCCCCCTTGTCAGTGGTGGAGGACGGAGTGCCTTGCAAAGTACAACATAAAGTTGTTCAGATTGGACAAAAAATGACAGTTGAAATTCGATATAAGAGTAGGTCGTAGTGCTGCTGTCCAGACAAAATTTCCCTCATGGCACACTGTATGGGGTATGCCTTCTTCATTAGCCTAGTCGGTAAAGAACAGTAAGATGTCAAACTCCATTTCATTTTCATTTTCATTTCATTTTCAATTCATTTTCAGTTCTATTTTTGTATAAAGCAGATGTATACGAAATGTAACACACCTGTGGTATAAAGTAGCATATACTCTTTACTATTCCATTATGAGAGAAACATGCCAACTTTAAAGGAGCTATAACTACCCAGATGCATGTCGAATTTTCCATAAGAAAAACACCTGATCTAGGAATATTTGAACTTCACATATTTTTGAAAAAAATACTGTTTCATTTCTGTCCACAAACATGTTACATGTAAACATATAGATTACTACCTGAAGAAAACATCTTTCTTGTTAAAATTAAGACAATGATTACTGGTTCTCTGATGAATTGCAGGTTTAAGAACAAAAGTAATATTTGATTTTATTTGTATATTCAGTTATTCTATTTTAGGGTGCTAAAGATCGTTTAACAGCACTGCAGATGAAGGGAAAGTCCAGACTTGAACTGAGAAAGATAAGAAAATATGAGGAGGGTTTTGACATCAAGGAATTTGCCCATACAGCGCAAGATATTTTATTGCAGGCCCAATATTTACTGCAAAAGTAAGTAGAAGGTACAATTTCCAGATTAAGCGGTGTTCAAAATAAAAAGAAATGAAATGAAATGAGAGGAAATAGGGTTTAACTTCCTACTGTTTTGCTCCTGACTGGGCTAATGAAGACGGGCATACGTCATACAGTTTGCTATGAGGGAAATTTTACCCGGGCAGCGGCACTATCGCCTACTTTTATACCGAATTCCAACTGCCAAGGGATCTTTTACGTGCATTCCAATTTATACACGGGACCTTGGTTTTTAATCTTATCCGAAGGACTAGACAGATGTCCTTGTCAGCCCCTCGTCCTGCATCACTGACAAGGGGGAACCACGCCGGAAAATCTGGATGAACTTTCTCGGCCAATGCAGGGATCGAACACTCGACCTCCAGGCTAGCGAGCCAGCGTCTTACCCACTTAGCCACGTGATCCCCAAAATAAAAAGAAAGTATTTCAAGATTTTACTTTTACTACAGTACTTTCAGAAGCGAAATTGTTTGATTGTTTTAATAAAATTTTATTTAAATCCTGATGCCTTTGCATATCAAATTTTTCACGGCCTAATACACGCTATAAACAAAATCAAAATACAAACACTAGATAATCTGCCGACTTGGATTCGAACGGATTTAAACTAGGCCTATCAGGTTTCCCTGTTACCATTAAAGATGACAGCGTTTTGTACGCTCGAGCAGCATACATCGATGAAATTTCAATTCCACATATTTTTGTAACTACTGAACATAATTGAACCATTTTTGGACTGCTATTCCTATAGTTAACCAACTTTCACAAAATTTTACTTTGCAAAGGATTCCTATTGCTTAAAAAATAAACTTAGACTGAATGAATTATGTATTAAAACTGCATAAACTGAAATTTTTATTGAGCCCATGAACTGTTCAACAATTAGTGGAATTGAATGTGAAGTCATATTTTTGCTTAATATTTTGCCATAAGGTTAAAAAAGTTGATGTAACTTCTGAACTAACAAAAATATATGTGTTACAAGAGTTGATGAAGTTTTTCTTTGTATATTGCAAAAAAATAGTCAGCGAGCTACTTTTAATGCATATCATTATTTGATTATTAAAATCAGTGTTAAGCTCCAATTTATCTCTCTGTAGCAGATTTAGCGCTAAAAGTATTCTCAACGCTTAATACGACGATATTGATAGAAATAATATTTCTTAGTGTCAGTAATTGATAAAGTCTCCTGTGGCATAAAACGAGCCAAATGTCCAACACCCTTATTTCAGAAATTGACTTCAACTTTAGTATTGAGACTATTGAAATTGGTATTTACAATCAAGACATTTTATTAACAAAAATCACAGACTTAAATCCAGCTTAAGATCCAGTTTGTCATACCAAATGAGGATGTAGTACCAACTTATTTGATAAATGTTAAAGATACATTAGTTAAGAGCTAAATCTGGCTCTTGCAAGTCTTTCTTTAGGCTTCAGATGTTATAGAAATTATTAATTAGGCCTTATTATGACAAGCTCAAAATCAACTCTGTAGACCCTCGGATTGCTTGGATATAAACAGTTGTCCATTTAATAATTAAATCAATAAATGGCAGACCAAGCTAACGTTTATTGTTAGTCACTGACGTCACTACCGGAGACTGCTGATGAAAGGCCTGCCCATCGAGGGTACCATAGCCATTGAGAATGTTACTTGATAATCGAGAATATGTGGGTCGAGTCCAACAATCAGCAATTCTCGGAGACGGTGATTAGACATTTGATGACTATTTCTAGTCCAAACTTCCAACAGTGACAACTCCGTTCAGAATAAAGTAATTTGACTGAAATTTTCAATATTTTTTTTTTTCTCATCTAATTTTGAATTATTATAGCAAGAATGGCTAACTCTTTATTAAAGGAGCTAAATCGCTAATATTTGGGACCTAGAAATTGACCCAAATGGGTCGCAATGCATATAATAATGTAATCTGATTGTATATAAACTGATTTACATTCAATTGTTTCCGTTTTGACTCTTAATTTCAAATCAGTTATATCCAGCGAAATACGGCCTGTGTCTCAACCATATAGCAATTTCTAGCGTCTGGTTCTCCAGTTGAATATATCTAGCCTCGTTCTTTCTGGTCACTTGTTGCAAATGACGCTAAAACGCACTATGGTACACGATTTGTGTACCAATGGTAAAATGTTTATTTTGTCTTAAATATTGGATATCAGAAGCCTGTCTTTTCCTGGTAAGATCACAACATCAATGTTGATTTGAATTGACAAATAATTCGTATTTTCAAGTGTATGACTTTGGATGATATTGAGTTAGAGACTTAGCTACTTTAAACTCTTAACTAATGTATCTTAAAATGGTTTCTTATAGTGTTGAAGAAAATGAAGATCAACTACATGATTTAGTCACAGAGAAAGCGTATCCTGTAAGTTTTATACTTATTACTACGTGTATATGGAGGGTTGGATGGTTGAATGGGTAGCACATGCGCGCTGTATCATAAGGCCTGTCATTGAGTCAACTGGCATGGTTTTGATTCCCTGGTTGTACGTGACAAGGAGTAGGGTCGCCTGTCCATCCTGGTAGGTTTTCTCTGGGTCCTCTGGTTTCCTCCCACTGCCAAAGACCCCTACGCGCAAGCAAATTATTGAAATAAAATTGAACCATGTGTTAGTCCCAAAACGACCTAGTTTGTGTTGAGTGGACCTTAAACCCCCTCTCTCTCTCTCTCTCTCTCTCTCTCTTTCTCTCTGTGAAACTATACTAAGAGATGATAATTGTCTAATTGGTAACTTGGTAATATAATAGGGCAACCCACAATTTCAACAGTAGGACATTAAAACCCATTTCGGAAATGCTAAGTAGAATGAATTAAAGGAGCTAAAGCCCCTTGATGTAGGTCAAAGTAAAGTATTGAAGTGGGTTGATCTGATTATGTGTTATTTCTTTAGTAATGGGTCAGCTTCTATGGAATTAAATTTTTGTTTGGAAAAATTATGCACAAGTCAGCATATATATTTACTAATTCTATTTGATGTTTTGGCATACTGTGTCAAGGGTTGCATACAAAATTGGTCATATCTCAATTCTAAACACTGGCTGTAACTATATATGGACATAAAGTTTTCAATGAATACAGATTGTTATACCACAAAACAAATCAACATAAAAAAATCCAATCAAAGAGGTCTAATTGTTTTTATTTTTTTATGGTTGTTTGGGATTTTTTTTTCTCCAGGAAATGACATTTGGTTTATGGAATAAGACTTTAAGATGGAAGTTTATTGAGTCAGTAGAACCACCACGTAGTGTACATGTTAGAACCACAGATATGCTGAGTAAAACAAATATCTATGCTCAAATAACAGTTAGAATGCACACAAGACAGGTAATCTATCAATTTGAAACCGTTAACCCAAGTCTGTGGTCACACTGAGAAAATGTAAACTTGAAGGAATGAGGTAAAAGAATGCATGGGACTATTAGGCTAGGGTTGTTTTTTTTTAATAAGTTTTTTTTTTGTTCTTGTTTCCACTCCCTTTAACTAGATAGCTAGCTTTGTATGCTCTTGCAAAATACAAAAAAAGTACAAGTTTACCAATAATATTACCAAAATGAACTATTAAACTAATTGTGAATACTAAAACCTGTTACCGGTACTTGTCCTTCACTAAACTAACCATCACAGTAATACAGAAAAAAGATCTTTATAGCCTGAAGTTGTTATTACTAAATACATGCAGTCAAGCATGAGCTGAAAAGAGCCTCAGGATTTTTCAAATTTGGTTCTTACATGCTTGTAGTAGAGCTGAGAGGTTGATAAGAAATGTGTTGCCAAGTTTTTTAGATGGTACGAAATATCAAGGTCCGTATTGTCATACACATAAAAGAACCCTTGACAGGTCTCTCCCAAACAATGCACACCTGGAGTAACCATATAACTAAGGCATTTCTATTACCCTCATATGTGACGTTATATGCTGTACTTACCTTTCCCATGTGCTTAGTTCTCTGTCTACCATTGTATAAAATGACTACCATTTAAATGGTAATTTTACTGTGTTAACAAACATTTGAAGCCACCAATCGGCATGTGCATTTTATGGACATTATCTAATTTTTAACAGTTTTAACCCATGCTAAAATGTACTTTAATTAAGACAACAAAACCAAAATATCAGTGATAAAAAATCTCCTGGTAGCATTAGATTGTTTGCATGATGATGATAATTTCTGTATCCTGTTTCTGTATTTCTTTTCCCAGATTCTAGCTTTATATGACAGATTTGGAAAACTGATGTATGGAAGTGAACATTTAATAAAAGACGTTTTAGAATATGTTGTGTTTGAAAGCCATATTGCTGATACTTATGGAAAGTGGCGCATTCATGGTAAAATTATTCCAGATTGGATGCCTCCGCGAGAACCATTAATCAAAACTTATCGTAAACCAGTCTTTGAGGAAATTCCAGATGAGGAGGAAATAAAGAACGAACAGAAACCAGAAGAAATAACACCAGCTTCTTCTGGACCTTCATTGGCTGCAGCTTAGTGACTGTTCTATTGTTCTACATATCTGGATGGACTTGTATCCCAAGGGAGTCGACAGCATTACATGTTTATGTGTGTTAGAAAGCTAACACAATTTGTAACTTGATGTCATCATGTGAAATTGTGTTTAACAGGAGAGAGAGAGAATGTGAAGTTACTGATGGAGGTTTGAACAAATTGTGTGTATTAGTCAAGTATAATTTGGAAAACAGTTCTCTCTCTTCTCTGATCAAATTAGTATACATTCTTCAAAAAGACCATACTTGTAAAAGAGTCATAGATAATTAAAATAATGCAAGAAATATCTGAAACAAAATGTTGACTTAATTTTATCTTAAGTTTTAGCTTAAGTTTTCACCATTGTCATGTATGAGGCAGTCAATGCTTTCTATTTCTTGCACAACCAGTAGTGATACTGCAAGATTTTGACAAAACAATAAACTTCTCTTCTGTGAAATTGCGAAAAAGTAAGCTTCTTTAGTACATTTCATTTAATTGAAATTCTATCTTATTTGATCTCCAGGTTATACTGGTAGTATTTAGGTCCGAGCCCCAACACCTTCGAATATAGAACACAATGATATACTACTGTTTAAATTTGGAGTAGTACAAGGGATGTTAATATATACTTCTTGTGATACTTTTGAGATCTTCACCATTCAGTAAATAAAATATTTCTTTTTGATTGAATGGAATTTTATTATAAAGTGATAATTATAATGGGGGTATTCAAATTAGATTTCATACAAAATTTAAAACAGATCCGCCAATTCACCAGTGAAATATAAAAGCTTTAAGATTAGAATTCACAAATGAGATATAAAGGTTTTAACATGCCAATTCAACGTTGAGATATAAACATTTTAACATTACAATTCACCACTAAGATAATAATATAAACATTTTAAAGACTGCAATTCACCACTGAGATATAAAGTTTAAGGATGCCAATTCACCACTGGAATATAAAACTTTTAAGATAACAAAATTAACAATTCACCACTGAGAATGTGAGATATAAAACCTTTTAAGATTCACCACTGGAATATAAAACTTTTAAGATAACAATATTAACAATTCACCACTGAGAATGTGAGATATAAAACCTTTTAAGATTAAAACTCACCACTGAGATATAAAAGTTTTAAGATAACAATTCACCACTGATACTAGTCATACTGATTATAGCAGGTATCAAAGAGTAACACTACTCTTTACAATGCTGTGATGTAAGTAGGCCTCTTCTTGGATTTGGATACCGGTAATTAGCTTGTCATTTTGAATATGAATTGTAATTCCATTTATTTTCTTTTTAAAAGTTCTGAGCATCTTTAAATATAATGACTGTAAAGTGTAATATTGGAGAAGAGATACATGTATATATTAATTGGCTTATATATCATAAAATCAATAAATACCACTGCTATTTATTTATTTTATGAATCAAATTTGTGAATTTAATATGGATGTAATTACCACCATAAAACTAAAAGACAAAATAGTATGGTAATTAAAAGTGTTAACTTCATTGTATTTGGCAATAAGAGCATACAAACTGTGATACAAATACCTTGACAAATTTGAAATGAATACAAACTGTATTGACAATATGAAAAGATTATAAGTGATTGATTGATTTGGTATTGAGCGCTTATTCACTTGATGAGATAGTATTATTGTCTAAACTTAGTGAACTGACTACTGCTGTATTTAAATGTTCTTGGGGTAAAAAACATCTGTGACATTAAAAACATCTGTGTCCTTGTAAGTGTGAATCCATTTGGATTCAAATACGTTCCCAGTGGCATGATTTTTCGGCTTAATAAAATATGTAATCTTTGAATGGCATTTAGCGATTGAACATAATGTAACACAACATAGTTCTATGGATAACAATCACTATATTATATACACACGACGTTTCAACAAGATTTCACTGGTCGTTATCAAGCATACAAATTACAAATGAGGAAAAAATTGTGTGAAATAGCTTTATTTAACGTCCGCTTCCACCGAAGTGATATCGCAGACAATGATTTCACTGGTCGTTATCAAGCATACAAATTACAAATGAGGAAAAAAGTGTGTGTTAGTTGTATTTTATGTCCGCTTCCACCGAGGTGATAATAACTTGTTATGTATACAAGGTGCAATAATTTACAATGTGATTAGTGAAAAAGAGGATAATTAGGTTTTTATATATATGTACAGAATACAATAGATAGCAGGACGAGACATGAGATAACAGGTGCAAAGAATAAAATAGTGCCAGTAGACGTTTACAAACAGACGAATTTGTGACAAAACAGACATGAATGTGGATGGACATTTGGACAAGGACAAACATTTGCAGACATGGTGGTTGATTTCGTCTTTATTTCTAATCATTCCTTTGTTGTTGGTTCTCTGAAGGGAGAATCCAGCACTTTAAAGAAAAGAGAGGAAAAAAGAGATTATCCGGTCTTATGGTGATTTTTTTTTTTTTGTTTCGTCTGGTAAGGCTTCAGTAGGGGGGGGGGGGGTCCTTATAAACAAATAATAAGAATAATAAACGGAAGAAAAGAAAAGAAATTGCTCAATGAATTATAAACAAATAATAAGAATAATAAATGGAATAAGAGAAATTACTCAAGAATTATATTAATGTTAAGTTAATATAAAATACAGTTAATATTTATTCGGAGATAATATAGTACAAATATACATATATACTCTACAATCAATACTTATTTACTCGAGAAGAGATAATACAAAATATTTCGTTGAGTTTCAGGGTGTGTAGCGTTTCCCTCGATGGGGACATTTTTACGCTAACACCCTGATTCATTAGTTTTAATTAGTGGTGTAGGACGGGTGGCATTTCCCTCTAGGAGACGTTTTTACGCTCCGCCCTACTAAGTGTATTTTAAATTCCTTAATTTTATCATAGTTTTATTAGTAGTGTAGGGCGGTTGACGTTCCGCCCTACTGAGTGTATTTTTAATTCCTTAATTTTATCATAGTTTTATTAGTAGTGTAGGGTGATTGACGTTACCCTCTAGGGGACATTTTTACGCTCCGCCCTAACGTTTTAATTCATTACTTTTATTATTATATGTGTTTGGTCATGCCTATATTCTCAATGAAATCCCAGACAAGCTGAGATATCCAGTATCTATCATCAGGTTGTGGAGAAAGGAGAGAGTTGAGGCAGAAGGTCTTTCCCCTCTCCGTCATTTTGTCGGTCATTGATTGGCGTTCTTTGATTAATTGATTACAGTTGATTAGCAAGTGTGAGGAGGTTGCAATTTGTCCACACGGGCATTTGACTGGTGTATAGATGTAGTCTCTGAATACATCCGTTGTTTTCAGCCTCGTGATGAGTTTGCATATTTTGATTGAAGGATGATTAATGTAAACCTTGTCTACAAGACTGCTATCTATTTGATAGCGATGTGTGTTTTCTAGTTTTAGACAAGATTTCCATGCATTTTTAATCTTTTCTTTTGCTATGCTTGCAAATTCCTGACTGCTATATTCTAAATTTCCTATTCCATTTAGTGATAGACCCTCCTTTGCAAGCTTGTCGGCTTGTTCGTTTCCCAGGATATTGACATGAGAAGGGATCCATGCAAGGATCACTTCCCTCCCACTGTTTTTAATTTTTTGAATGATGTCACTGACTCGATGGATTATGATTTGCCTGTTTTTTTGAGGAGTTTGATTCTATAGTTTAAATACTACTCAGTGAGTCAGACAGGATAACGGCCTTTTGGTGTGTTTGCGTAGCTAGCCATTCCAGTGCAGTTTTGATGGCCATCAGTTCCGTGGTGTTTCTGATGTTCAGCTTTACTTTGGGTATGTGTATGCCGAATCCTGTCGCTCCTTTTGTAGAATCTTTTGATCCATCTGTGAAAATCTTGAGATGATTACTCCATTTTGATTCTAGTAGTTCCATTGATAGTGTTCTAGCCTCTATTGGGTTAACGTGTTTGTTTGTGACTTGACTTAAGTAAGTGTTGGTGGTTGGATTACTTAATTGCTAAGGTGGGGTATCGGGGAAGGGTTGAGTCTCGATTTTTGTGCCTTTCAAGTTATGTTTAGTTAGAATATCATTTGACATTTGTCCAAAGGTCACGGGTCTGTTGCCCTAAAACCTATTCGTTTGAATTTGCTGAGACAGTTGTATGTTGGGCATCTTTGTTTTAGACTTTGCAGCTTGCCCCAATATTTGAGTGAGAGTTCCTCACGCCTGAGATCAAGCGGAAGCTCTCCCATTTCATGTAAAAGGGCTACTGTTTTTGTTCCTATAGCTGTTATAGTCGCAAGTCTTATGGCTTTGTTTTGTATTTTCAGGAAGCCAAGCGTAGAATTAGCCTTTTTTGCAGATGTTACTTAATGAGTTTCCCATGGAAGGTTTTCCGAAATATGCAGACCCAAGTATGGGTTTGTGACCAAGTATGGGTTTGTGTCAACTTGTTGTAATATGGTATTATCTAGTTCATAGAAAAAACCTGACTTTTGTTGGACGCTGAGGATATAACAATTTTTGGCGTTGAATTTCATGCCCCAGAGTTCAGCCCATTTTTCCAGTTCTTAGAGGTCCCTTTGTATTGCAAGGCGATCATCGCGCGAGAAAATCGTCTTGTAGAGAAGACAGTCGTCTGCGAATAAACGAACGGTGGATTTAACTGTGTCCGGAAGATCATTTATGTGGCAAAGGAACATCAGTGGACCTAAAACCGTCCCTTGGAGGACACCAGATTCAACCTTAACACTGTCAGAATGTTCACCCTCAATGGCGACATTCATATGTCTATCTTTCAAGAAAGATGTTAACCAGTTCAGTATATATTTCCTCTCACGCCATAATTTTCTAGTTTCTGAAGGAGTTTGTCATGTGGTACAGAATCAAAGGCTTTTGAGAAGTCTAGGATCGCCACATCGACTTGCAATTTCTGATCATAGCTTTCGAGTAGGTCGTGCATTGTGACTATCAGTTGGGTTTCTGTGTGTATATAATATAGTGATTGTTATCCATAGAACTCTGTTGTGTTAAATGAATAAATGTTTCGGTTTGGGAAAACAAGTAATGTGTTTGGCCATTTATTCATTACATTTATTTTATAAAGCCCAACCAAAGTTTTACGATAGTATTATGAGTTAATGTCTATTTTTAAATATATATATATTATTATTTATATTATGTTCCCCATCATAAATGAATGACATTATACACCATCCATTCTTTTTTGTGCTGGGGAAATGGTATTCGTACAGATTTGAGAACACAAAGAAACATTATGCTGATAATATGATCTTTGTGTTTCAGTCCTTGTAGTGTTTTTATATATTCCTTATTACGCAAATGAGCTAATTTCCTGCATTTTATACCTGCTCTTTCATCAATATAAAATTATATTGACAAGTCAGTGTAGAGTGCTACTTGATAATTTCTATTCAGGTGTCCTTCCAGAAATGTATTGCAATCTGATTCAGTCTGTAATGATTATTATCTGCAAAGTGTTAATTTGCTTGAAAAAAACATGTTTGCTCTCTTTCACCTATTGTATCTAAATAAGGGAGACTGTATTTCTACCCTAGCAATTTAAACCCGCCACTTTTATATATAGAGATTTCTATGCATATACTATACACAAAGAAAAAAAATCAGCACCTTCGTGTACATTTTACAATGACTGGGTCAATCTGATTAAAACACAGATCCTATTTCGTTTCGTTTTTTATAGTTCAAAATATCGTTTTACTTGTCTTTACTACACCAGGATCTGGAAGAGTTGTTATATACAGGCGTTCTAGTTGATGTGAGGAATTAGCCAATGAAACGGTCTGTTATGGCGAGTTCTTGGCGTGCTCTGCACAGAAATGTGGGTAAACCCGTAGTAACGTCAACCCTGATTGATTAATCAATGTCTGACGTCACAATGGCCAAAAGCCGCTCATGTTACCCCTGACGCAACCTCCCAGTAGAGGCCATCGAAAGTATAAAAAAACCGAAACAAACTATAGATCTGTATTTTAATCAGATGGTGCACAGGCTGACCCTGAAACCACTGGTCTCGGTCACCCAGAACCTCCTAGTTTTCAACGTACGGAGGGTCTGGGACCGTTGTCAATATCTGACGAAAAGTCCATTGCCCATGCGTAACCGGGAGTTTGGTTTTTAATGTGGTTGAATATCCAGTATCTTCTGGCCAAGTCAAGTAAGGGTTGCGCACCTTCCCGCTATAAATGCCATAATTCTTGCATTAATATAAACAAACCACACTGATCCGCAGTGAATATTCGCTAGGCCGTGACAATCACTGATAAGGATGACATCGATGTGACTTAATGAGCCACAATATTAACATTTTTCCTCCGACAAATTAAATTCTAAAACATTTTTTTTTTATGTATTAGAAAAATAAATAAAGGCGTTTTAAGTATTTGTAGGTAAAATTTATGTCCTAATTTAGTGTACATGGGTATTAAAATGAGTAAAAGGCGCCATTCTGATCGAATCAGTAACGTCTTATGTAAACAATGCACGCGCCATTGAGCCTATGATTGATGTCGCGTGATATAACGCCATGTGTTGAAGGCAGTCATCTTTGACAGAGATATTAGAAGCCTTTCGTAATACTCTGTGAAACAGATTGTAAACAAACATGAATCGTGACGGCGAGTTAGGATTAATTTAAAAAAAACCATAGATATGGCCCATGAAGAGAGAAATGTTACAATGAATGTTGGATATTGAACTGGCATGCAATCAAAAGGTTTTTTGAAATGGTATTCTTGAATTAATTTCATGGGCGTCAACATCGTGTTTTAGGACTAGTTACCTCCCTCAGACTTTGTTTATGATAATGTAAAAGACCGGATAATCTAGCCAATGACCTATTATTCTCAAATGTTGACAACTTATCCAGACTAATATTCATAGAATATTTTTATATGCCCACATTTTCATGTGGACGTATATTGTCGTCGCCCCTGTCCGTCCGTCCACAATTGTTTGTGGACACTCTACAGGTCACAATATTTATCCGATTTCAACAAAACTTGAAATATAGGTTTATGTTTATATCCCTAAGATCTCAGCTCCTTTCGATATTGACATGTATCGGACCGTAACTTCATGGATTATGGCCCCTGCTTGTACGAAAAATCGTGTTTTTAGCTTGTGGACCCTATACAGGTCACAATTTATATCTGAATTTGTTGAAATTTGAAATGTAAGTTTATAACCCAAATATCTTGGTTCCTTTCGATATTCGCGCATCGGACCGTAACTTCCTGAATTATGTCCCCTGGTTGTACGAAAAATCACGTTTTTAGCTTGTGGACCCTATGGAGGTCAGAATTATTATCTGATTTAGAAAACCATTCGAATATATCACCGTTTCACCGTAATGTTGGTTGAGCTTGAATTTTGTGAAAATCGGACGAAAACTGCGAGACAAAATGGCCGCCCCTCTGGGCAAATAGTGTAAACATCAGGTATATCAAGGTTGTGGACCCTCAAGGGGTCACAATTTTGATCCAATTTTAATGATGCATTAAATGCATGTTTATAACCCAAAGATCTTGGTTCCTTTCGATATTCGCACATATCGGATCGTAACTTCCTGAATTATGGCCCCTGAATGTACGAAAAATCGCGTTTTTAGCTTGTGGTCCCTCTAGAGGTCACAATTATTATCTGATTTTAAAAACTGTTCAGATATATCACCGTTACACGGTATTGTTGGTTGAGTTCAATTTTCATGAAAATCGGACCAAAACTGCCAGACAAAATGCCCCCCCCCCCCCATACGCAAATAGTGTAAACATCTGGTGTGTACCATCTAGAGGTCACAATTTTGATCCGATTTTGATGAAACTTGAAATGATGTTTTTAACACAAAGATCTTGGTTGCTTTCGATATTCACGCATATCAGATCGTAACTTCCTGAATTATGTCCCCCTGATTGTACGAAAAATCGCGTTTTTATATTGTGGTCCATCTAGAGTTCACAATCATCTGATTTAAAAAGCTGTTCGAATATATTACCGTTACACCGTAATGTTGGGTTAGTTCGAATTTAGTGGAAATTGGACGAAAAATACCAGAAAAAATGGCCGCTTCTCTACGCAAATACATGTAGTGTAAACATCTAAATATCTGGTATATCAAGGTTGTGGGTCCTCTAGATGTCACAATTTAGATTCGATTTTGATGAAACTTGAAATGCATGTTTATAACCAAAAGATCGACTGATGGGTGAAAAACGCGCTTATACGTGCACTCTAGGGACAAGACGGGGGATTTATTGACAATGTTATGTAAACTGATGTTAGTGTAATATGTCGTCTCAGTCTGGCAAAACTTGATTTGACATTCGTTTTTTAAATTCAAACCATGTTAACACTATGAGAAGTGGACTAGCAATTTGGAGCGGAGTTTACCAAACACCCATACTGCACGACATGAACGAAAAAGGTACAATACTTTTTTAATTATTCCACTTTAAATAGTGTAGCCGCTTTTCTGTGGGTCACACGATATAGTCTTTTTATCCGTGAACACAACTCTAATATTTTTATCCGTGAACACGACTATAGTGTCTTATCCTATTACAACCTAGATGGAGATTTATTACTATTATTGTTTTTAAATCCTACTCCATGCTGTACTTCAATTTAAAAAAACCCGTGAACATCATATTTAAATCTAATCAAATAACCGATGTCTAGGATGGAGTCATGCATAAATATGGATGAAGCTTGATTAAACTATATTAATTGGCCAATCCCGCTATTTTTTTTTTGGAGAATAAAACTGCTTAACTTTGTGTTAAAATCGCTTAAAATCCTCTACCAAAGGACCGAGCAACTAACTCAATATTTGTGATACATTTTCAAACAACTTAAACCCGTTCTCTTTATCTGGAAATGGAGACCGGTGTCCCAAGCTGTATTATGTGGTGTCTGGATAAAACGAGACTTTTTTTAAATAAAAATAATGTATAAGTGAAATTTACCTTTCGTTATAAAGTACGGCACCAATCTGTTTCACAGAGATCTTCTAATATCTCTGTAACAGATGACTGTTTCGACACGTGACGTCACATCACGTGGCGTCAATCATTGGCTCAGTAGCACGTGCATTGTTTACATAAGACGTTACTGATTTGGGCTAAATAGTGAATTTTACTTATTTTAATACCCATTTACACTAAATAGGAAATGATTTTTACCTACAAATAATACAAACGTCTTTATTTATTTTTCTAATAAATGAAAAAAAATGTTTTAGAATTTAATTTGATGGAAGAAAAAAGTTAATATTTTGGACTCATTAAGTCGCATCGACGTCATCCTTATCAGTGATTGTAGCGGCCTAGCGAAAATTCACTGCTGATCAGTGTGGTACGGCACATGGGACACTCACTGTATAGACCTCTCAAGGAACGGGAATCGATTATCAGGTCACCCAACGAAAAAAAATACCCGAAATCTTAAAAGGGTTGTGAGTCCGGATAAGCAGTTATGACATTCACGTCCAAACGACTCAATATTTTGAGCTGAAATTTTGAGACAAGGTAAATACACCATTCCTCTATATTTTGGCGCTTATCTTTCATACTTACTCGGACTTTAATTTTTGAGATTCTGTTCAAATCGGGATAGTCCCTTTAGTAAATAGTAATATATGTCTATAATAAAATTATTACGTAAACATATGAGTAATTGTACTTATCTACATTAAACTATAAACTAGTATAAAGATACACCCATGCGATTGGTATGTTTTTCTAATATTATTATTATTATTCAGTAGAGCGAATCGTCAAATAATAGAATAATACCTGCCTAATAGATATATAAGACTTGAATATTCACGACTACTATATAAAATAAGCGACTAGTTAAACCAGACAGCTGTTGCCTTGCAGAGTATATACATACATGACATGTACGCTTGAGTGGATAAAGTGTCAGAGAGGCAACATGCTGAAACCTTGAGGTAAAATTACAGTTTATAATGTTGTTTACTAGTATATAGTTATCTACATATTATATATCATTACTGCATAGACTACATGGGCTTAAATAAGTAAAGTAGTTAGGATTAAGTTAATGTATGTCGGGTTATTTACTTACCCAAAACTTGACTGTCAACTAATTGTGTGAATGAATACATAGAATAACAGGGATGACTTGTAGGCCTACTCAATAATGTTTCACGTACGGTTTTAAATAATAATCTTCCACTTGTTAACCCCCATACTGGATAGTTTAGGTATAACAGTTATTTGTATATTTTATAAATTAATTTACACCATTTTATCTTCCGGAAAGACGAACCGAGATAAACAGAGTGTAACTAAAGAGACCCAACCACTGATTATACATGTCATATATAGATCACGTTAAAAATTACGACCTCTTCCTCAATACGCATGACGTGTTTCTAATTTCACACGTCTCGGAATTAAAAGGACTGCTTAGTTTACTTAGAAAACACAACTCAAGTGTCGCAGTACTGTTACAATATTCATAACAATATTAATGTGGACAGTAGCTGTTACTCTATAACTTATCAACATCCTTATTTTATTACGTATAAATTTTGGCACGCGTCTTCTCAAAGGGTTCATTAGCGATATAATAGTACAGCACTCAAATGGTATAGCATAATTATTGAGTACCTTGGATACCAACAGCATACTGAAAGATCACCCTAACATCCAACCGTATTATGGTCTAAATAATAATAGCATAAGCGTTTTAATTATTCTTCTGCACACAGAGACATATATTTGCTTTGAGAAAAGATCTCTGTCCCGAATGGCCGCCATATTAAAAGATAGGCCCATACATCAGCTTTGTCTCAACTGCAGCTTATCCGAAAGGAAAAATCCGAATGTTGATCAAATTTGATCAAAAGAAACCTAATCTCTAGCGTTTATCCTCTTATGACCCTATTGCTTCCAACCAAATTTGAATAAATATCTGTTACTGTTAAAACCTATAGCCCTTTCGGCAAAGGGCGTGTAACTCAAGAACAGAAAGCTGCGCATTAAGGATATCGCCACTAATGCTTCAAGCTAAATATGAAAAATATCCATTAAAAGCTATAGTGTTTTAGAAAAGGCGGAATAACTCACGAACGGAAAGTCACTGTAAACTGAATATAGTTTTTAAAAAAATATATACTGATTGCCATGGAAAACGCATCACTTTTTTTTCCCCAAATATTTTATTACTAGGTGGTTTTGTATGTATAATATTATGCAATACTATGAACTATTGTTTCACACAATGCTCCCAAACGCAAAAAATATCGGCCCGTGTGCACACAAAAAAATTGCACGAGATGCACATGAAAAACCCAATATTCACGTTTTCAACGTAAGAGTGTATCCGCAAGAAGACCAGGCAAAAATTGCAAAAGGTGCTAAGTTGGGGGGGGGGGGGGAGGGGTCAGAAGTTTTTGATCAAACTTATGGTATGACACCCGCTAGGGGCAAGAAGTGACATGCTGAAGTGGTTACAACCTGATGTCGCTATAAAGGACTGTACTGGAAATAGTCATTTTCTGGGTAAAATTTTGGTTTTCACATGTGTATTTATCACCATTTTTAAGCACAGATTGCATTCTATAGTGCAATAGCAACCTCTAATTTTGACCCTGTCTGATAAAGCAGGTAGTCGACTTCCAACCCAGCACTAATTTGAAAAAATAAAAAGTCACTCCCTACTAATTTTTTGGGGACTTCTTTCAGGGTACCATATTCACATTGTCCATGTAGTACAGAAAAGGATACACTGTAACTTTTTCTTTCATGGTCGCAAGCAGAATTTCATCGGATGGTTTTGAAGTGCTACGCACATAGTATCAATAGGTGTAAAAAAATGACCGGAATGCAACATACTTAAAATAAAGAGCTTATTGAAAAGTGCTAAAAATAAGCTGTTGTGATACATATTTTTGCAAATTTCATCAGAGAAATAATTTTTTTTTTGACTTCTATACGTTTTCATCATATCCATAGCCATCATTTGTACCATGTGGTACTGTATATAAGTATATATTTGTATTTATTGTATATTTTGTATTGTCGTATTGTCCCTTTAACATATTTGTTGTATTGTCTCTTTAAGGTTTCATTTTCCAACAGGTCACCGAAAATTACTACAAAATGCTCTATTTCAGAGCATGTTTCCACTATTCATTTTTGGACACATCCACTGATTTCTACAATACAGAAATGTGGAAGCTTAAATTTTAACGTCAACGCAGCCTTGTTTCGAAGTGGGCGACGTTGAACAGTGTAGTATGGTAGCAACGGCTCTCGGGCGCCGTCAGCTACACCTTCAGGATCGGATTTAGAATAAGGAATGAGAGGCCCTAGGCAATCCCCCTGAACAGCGCCCGCGACATGGACCTTGGGCAACTCGGTGAGGGGGTTGGTCGGGGGCAATCATGCGGTTGATGGTTCGAATCTCACTTTTAGTTGAATTTTTCATTTTTGTTTGGATTATTTTATTTAAAATAATGTCTATTTGAGAGTAATGGATATGTTTTGTTAAGATCATTTCATGGAGCAGGTCGATACTACAATGGAAGCGCGTGGACATCTGAGGAAGCCAATTCCCGTCGGCGCCAGATGAATCATGAACGGTTACAGGCCTTTTAAAGTATTTTGTCAAGACATTTTTATAAAACAGATACTAATGTATATTATGGCTGGTAGTAGCATATGAATGAAAAGAAACAAAAATTGTTAGGGTTTTTTTTATCTACTACAGTCAATTACAGGTTAATTTAATGGGTTATTGTTTGTTTTACCTAGTTTTTGTCAGCTTTATTTTTTGTATCAAATGTTGGGAGGTTGCTTGTTCACGTGAGCATAAATTTTTGACCCCCCCCCCCCCCCCATGAAAGAAGTAGCTATAGGGCGTCAAACTTTGCTTGACGAAAAATGGGGAATTTAGATAGGCTTTGATATCCAGTCCGTATACAGATCTCATTCGCCAGAATTATCTGCAATTAATTTTGGGGTAACAGCACTAGGTCATCTACAAACTGTGTGAGTTTAGTCTTTTTGCTACGTATAGTAAAGATGTGAGGACTTGCCAAAGTTGGTATTAGAGAAAAGACGGATTTGGGCAATTTCACCACATGAAAAATGTTTTTTCAATTTTCTCAGTCAGGAATTGAAAGATTTTTCTGATATTGCATATTTATGTGTTTTGGGACTATCCCAACTTATAAACCAAATTTGGTCAAAATCTGTGAGTAAAGCCTTAGCACCTTCTGCATGGTTTTCTCGCGGACACGCTCTTAATGTGCAGTACATGAACTGTGAAACGTCAATCTGTCGTAATTTGTTGTTGGACTGTGAAGGAATCGAGATAGAGATGCCGAGACCTACTGAAAATCAACGGAATGAAGCCATGGGAATGTCCAGGGTTGGCATGTCTATACGTGCTATTGCCAGACACTTCAATTGTCATCAGTCCACTATTGTAAGGTTGGTGGAAGGCTCAAGACCGCTACATCCAGGTCACTCATCTGCGTGACAGATTCCGCCCAGCGACTCGAACAGGTGCAGCAGTCGTCGGAAGACAAGGACCAGTAAGTGCCAACACCCTAAGACGCCGTCTAAGAGAAGTAGGACTCAGTGCACGACGACCTTATGTTGGAGCTATCCTTAGGGATCATCGCCGTCAGCGGCGTTTGATATGGGCTCAAGGACACCAGACATGGAGAAGAGTCGACTGGCAAAGTGTGCTCTTCAGTGATGAGAGTCGCTTTCATCTTTATCACGCTGATGGCCATCAACGTGTGTGGAGACGTCTTGGGGAACGTCTTGCAGACTGCTGCGTCTTCGAAACGAATCGTTGGGGTGGGGGAAGTGTAATGGCGTGGGGAGGCTTCACATTTCATCACCGGACCGCCCTACACATTTGCAGGGGTCGCGTTAATGCTGTAGCCTACCGTGATGATGGCCCGTGGAGGACACACACGCTACTGACATCTGTGTCGTACTTTTGGTTTTGACCCCTCTGACTTTGTACCCTTGATTACAGATTAAACATCCATAACTGTAGAAATGTGTTGTTATTGATGTGTTCCTATTTGAATATTGTTCACAATAAGAAGCAAAATAAATAAGATGTTTACAGGATCATTTTGTTATACGAAAAACTAAGTGATGCGTTTTCCATGGCGCTCAGTATATATATATATATATATATATATATATATATATATATATATATAGCCTCTACCAGAACCTTATATGTAGAGAGTCTGGCCAACTCGTGTCCCTATTGTGATTGGCTAATGGTAGTCACGTGGCATATGGACGCCATTATGTTACCCACTTGAAAAGAATCGTCTGCATAGTAGTAGCTTATCATTTGACATGTTTTTAAATGACGAAAATTGTCTATTGTGTGGCCGTAAAATGCCACACAAGACATGGGCATGGGCGACGATTGTGGGGAGCGAAAGTAAAAAGAAGTGTATGGAAGGTAGTGGTAAAAATACTTTCTTGTTATTCGTACTTTTTATACGCCCACATTTTCATGTGGACGTATATTGACGTCGCCCCTGTCCGTCCGTCCGTCCGTCCACAATTGTTTGTGGACACTCTACAGGTCACAATTTTTATCCGATTTCAACTAAACTTGAAATATGTCACCATTACACTATAATGATGGTTGAGTGCGAATGTCGTGAAAATCGGGCAAAACTAACGGACAAAATGGCCGCCCCTCGTAGAAATGGTGTAAATATGTGGTATATATTATAATCAAGGTTGTAGAACCTCTAGAGGCCACAATTTTTTCCTGATTTTGATGCAACCTTAAATTTATGCTTTATATCACAAACATCTTGGTTCCTTTCGATATTCGCGCATATCGGATCGTAATTTCCCGAATTATGGCCCCTGATTGTACGAAAACTCGTGTTTTTAACTTGTGGTCCCTCTAGAGGTCACAATTATTATC